CTTAGTCGTGCAATCAGTCAGGTTGGTTTTCTGGCCCCAGCCTCGTTGGGCATCTTGGGTGCCTTTGGGGGCCTCTTGGAAGTATGTTGGTGGCCTCTTTGGGGCCTCTCGGGGCCTCCTGTGCACAACCTTTTGTAGCCCTGTTAGGGCACTTTTGAGAACCTCGGGGGCCATCTTGGAACCAGCTAAAAGGGGATCGATCACAGCAGGGGAACTCCCATATGTTGGTCCTCCCCAGGAGGCCAAACTGTAGCGAACACCTTTTGTCCCAACCCTCTTGTGTTGGGCACTCGTTTTGAATAGAGCACTGCGGTCCCCACCTGCTGCTCCTCCTTCTCCTCCTCTTCGTCCGCCTCCTCCTCCTCCTCCTCCTCCTCCTCCTCCTCTTCGTCCACCTCTTCCTTCCTCCCACCATTCTCCTCCTCCTCGTTTTCTTCGGCCTCCTCCCTACCTCGTGACCTCGCCGTCCCCTGGGGGGCTGCAATCTGCGAAACTGACACAACTGTCGTGATTTTCTGGGAGGGCCAGCGGAGGTGCCCCCAACGCAGATCGCCACGAGACCTCGCCGTCCCCTGAGGGGGCTGCGATCTGCGAAACTGTCGCCACGCTCGTGGGCTTCCGGAGGGGGGGGGCAGCGGAGGTACGTCATACGCAGATCATTGCGAGAAGTCGCCGTGCCCTGGGGGGCTGCGATCTGCGAAACTGTCGCTTCTGGTAGGGCCAGCGGAGGCACGTCATACGCAGGTCACCACGAGAAGTCGTCGTCCCCTGGGGGGCTGGGGTCTGCGAAACTGCCGCCACTTTCGTGGGCTTCTGGGAGGGCCAGCGGAGGTGCACCCCATGCAGACCGCCACGAGACCTCGCCGTGCCTTGGGGGGCTGCGTTTTGCGAAACTGTCGCCACTTTTCGTTTGCTTCTGGGAGGGCCAGCGGAGGTACGTCCTACGCAGATCACCGCGGGACCTCGCCGCCCCCTGGGGGCCTGCAATCTGCGAATGTGTTGCCTCTTTCGTGGGCCTCTGGGAGGGCCAGCGGAGGTACGTCATACGTAGATTACCACGAGACCTCGCCGTCCCCGCGGGGGGCTGCGTTTTGCGAATTTGTCCCCACTTTCGTGGGCCCCTGGTCGGGCCCTTGAACGTTTCGCCAAGGAACGTCGGGCCAGACTCAGATGTTTCACGCATGCGGCGTCACTCTTGAGGGGCAGCTCGTTGGCAGGAGAGCGGCCACGATGGGGGCGTGGAGTCATGTGGAGGAGGGACGATTGGATGCATAATCAGTGGGAGTAGCAGCGCCTTGCGCTGTGTTCGCATTGCACGACAGCGCCCTGCGCGCTATGACAGTACAGCGCCTTGCGCTAAACGTAACATTGTGCCCGCATGCATTACAAGCAACAGGCAGCTGAAGAAGGGTATGGCATGGGCAACGGACCTCGCCAGGCGCTATTATTCGCGCGACGCTCGCGCACGCCGCGTCGCTCCGCTGGCCCTCCCAGAAGCCTACTGAAGTGGCGACAGTTTCGCAGATCGCAGGCCCCCCAGGGGGCGGCGAGGTCTCGGGGTGATCTCCGTGGGGCGTACTTCCGCTCCCCCCCCAGACCCACGAAAGTGGCGACAGCTTCGCAGATCGCAGCCCCCAGGAGACGGCGAGGTTTCGTGGTGATCCGCGTAGGACGTACCTCCGCTGGGCCTCCCAGAAGCCGAAGAACGTGGCGACAGTTTCGCAGATCGCAGGCCCCCAAGGGGTGTCCTTGTGGTGATCTGCGGAGGACGTCATTCCGCCGGCCGTCCCAGAAACCAGCGAAAGTGGTGACGGTTTCGCAGATCGCAGCCCCCCAGGGGGCGGCGAGGTATCGTGGTGATCTGCGTATGACGTACCTTCGTTGCCCCCCCCCCAGGAGCCAACGAAAGTGGCGACCGTTTCGCAGATCGCAGCCCCCAACGGGGCGGCGAGGCCTCGTTGTGATCTGCGTATGACGTACTTCCGCTGGGCCTCCCAGAAGCCGACGAAAGTAGCGACACGATCGCAGATCGCAGCCTCCCAGGGGACGGCGAGGTGTCGTGGTGATTTGCGTATGACGCACTTCTGGCGGCCCCCACAAAATCCCACGAGGGAGGCGACAGTTTCGCAGATCGCACCCCCCCCAGTGCACGGCGAGGTTTTGTGGTGATCTGCGTATGACGTACCCCCGTCGGCCCTCCCAGAAACCCATGACATTGGCCACATTTTTGCAGATCGCAGCCCCCCAGTGCACGGCGAGGTTTTGTGGTGATCTGCGTATGACGTACTTCCAGTGGCCCTCCCAGAAGCCCACGACTTTGGCAACGTTTTCACAGATCGCAGCCCCCCAGGGGACGGCGAGGTCACGAGGCAGGGAGGAGGACGAAGAAAACGAGGAGGATAATGGAGGGAGGGATGAGGAGGTGGAGCAGGAGGAGGAGGAGGAGGGGGAGGAGGAGGACCAGTGGAAACCCAAGAGTCATCAACGATGTTGGAATTCACCCTCCCTCCAAGCTCCCTCTTCGTAGGAACCCTACAACGGTTCATTTCCATTGAGGGAACGGCCTCGCTGGAAGACAACAGTTTGAAGATCCTGAAGCGTGCCAACACGCCTGTTGTCGGGATTTCAACCCCATGTATCAACCGGACTGCTGCGTCTTGACGATCCAGAATCGTACCAGAACGCCGTTTTGGGGGACTTCGACACAGCGGATCAACATAATTGTTGCGCCCGCATAATCCTGAACCCTCTCAAAACACCATTTCTGGTACGTTAATCATGGGAATCCGTGAAACTCTTGCAGACATTCAACATGAATGTGCGCGGCGCCACGGCGAGAGCCACCTTTTGAAAACCACCCGCCCTCAAGCCGAGGAGCTCTTTCACATTCAAAACAACGAATGTGCGCGGCGCTAAGGCGAGAGCCACATTTTTGAAACCACCCGCCCCCAAGCCGTGAAGCTCTTGCAAATGTTTTAAAGAACGCACGCGGCGCTAAACCGAGAGTCACATTTTTATAACCACCCGCCCTCAATCCGCGAAACTCTTGCAAACATTCAAAACGAATGTGCGCGGCGCTAAGGCGAGAACCACATTTTGAAAAGGAACCGCCCTCAATCCGTGAAACTCTTGTAGAATTTTACAAGGGATGTGCGCGGCGCTCAGGCGAGAGCCACATTGTGAAAGCAATCCGCCCTCCATCTGTGAAACTGTTGTTACTTTTTAAGCTTCAGAGTCATAATTGGTGAGGAAGTCTCTGGCGAATCGCCCGGCCTCGGGGTGCGACAGGGAGGAGTTACTTGCAAGGATAATGGAGGAGCAGCAGGCGGAGGAGGCGGAGGAGGTGGTGGGGACTGCAGTGCTCTATTTAAAACGAGTACCCAACACAGGAGGCTTGGGAACAAACGCTCACCTTTGGCGAAGCGTTCAACGGCATTGTGGATCATTCAATGGGTGCTTTTGTCTTGAACCATCCGATGTATACTCGCCACACGCTTAAAAGGGCTGGGTACGTCCCGGGGTATCACTTCTTACAGTAAGTGATTGTGGCTTCCTCGCCGGGGCCGTATTGGACGTTGTAACCCCTGGCGAAACCCGCCCGTTCTCCACACCCAGAGGGAGGGAGGAGGGGGAGGGGTCCTTCCCCCCCTCTGCCGAAGGGGAAGAACGGGGTTGGAAGAGGAATTGCTCCCTTGTCCACTCACGCCGGAAAGGGCTGGTGGCATTAGGAAGGATGAGGGGGCGGATCGGTGGAGCGTGGGGGGGGACAGGGTACAGAGGGTCTGGCGAGACGTGGTGACCAGGGGGGACAGAGGAGCAGAGTGACGGGGGGGGGACGGTGAGACGGGTGGACGAAGAGGAGGAGGAGGAGGAGGAGGAAGAGGAAGAGGAGGAGGAAGGAAAACAGGAAAATCAGGTGGCATTGCTGGGATTAGGAGGATCAGGAGGAGAGGGAGGGAAGGGTGACGATGGAGTTGAGTCGCAGGTAGTGTAGGGGAGAGAATGAGGAGAGGCAGCATGATATTGACGAGGGGAGGATGATGGATTATGGTAGCAGGAAACAAGGGGGAGAGAGGCGGAACGACGATATTGATGACGGCAGCTGCAGCCACGGCGATGATGCATTTGATGATGGTAAGGTTGATGACGACTATGAAGATGATCTGGACGATAATGACGACGATGGGGAGGAGGACGAAGACAAGCACGAGGACGAGGCCTGATTTTGACGTGCATGATGTGGGTGATGGAGGGTGGGGAAACGGAGCAGGAGGATGATGAGGAGAAAGGACGACGAGGCCGAGGCGAGAGAGAGGGAGCAAGATTGAGACGGGAGGGGAAGGGCCGCTGCATCAGAGATGACAGATGAGGAGGGGGATGGGGTAGACATATCAGGGTAGAAGGAAGGAGGGCGAGGACGATGAGGAGCAGCGAAGAGCAGGAATGATGGAAATACGTCGCGAGGAGGAGGAGGCAGGCCGAGAAACGGAGGAGGCAGGGCACAGGGAGCAGGGAGGTTGGAGGGAGAGAGGATGGATGGCGCATTCGTAGCATTGGCAGCAGCAGCAGCAGCAGTAGTACCCGTCGGTCCATGAAAGTCGGCCTTGTTGCACTTTCGGATCCCAATCTGCTTCTAGCGCCTTCCTGCTGAACTAATCGGCATGGTTTTGATGTGTTTTGCCATTCTATGGGAGGACCTGAATCCAATATATCCGCCTTCCTGCTTCACGTTTTTACCTACTTCTTCCGACCGGCGTGTAGTAGCAGCAATAGTAGTAGCAGCAGTAGCAGCAGTAGCAGCAGCAGCAGTAATTGTCCGTAGCCCCGATGGCTTAGTAGGCACAGCGGTCACAGGCCCCAGGGCTCCATTTCCTGGCGCGGTGCTGCGAGCAAAAACTGCGAGTCCAGGTTGAAGTTTTCACATTGCAGTGACCGTGAGGAAGAGAGGAGGAATGGTGCACGGTGGAGAAGGCGGATGACCTTTTCTTGTGCGCGAGGTCATGTCGGACGTGGTCCCGCCCGTGGCTGTCGCGTGCCTCCGCCCGCGATGCCTCGTGCTGCGCCTGCTGGCGCTCGCCCTCTCCGAGCGAGCCCTGCCGTCCACTGTGCGCTCGAGATGGCCAAATAGCCAAATTGCACAAACATACCCTTCCGGAGGTCCACGCGGAGTTCTTGGATCTGCACTTGGCTCCCTTGGCGGCGCCTCCGGCGCCGCGCCTGGCGCGTTCCCGCCGGGGACGGGGACCCAGCGCAGAGTCAGGAACTCTGCGCGCCGAGCTCTCGAAGGCTACGGATATCAGCTTTCTCTTCCTCTGGACGGGGCGGAGGGAGCGAAGGGCTCGGAGAGAGGGGGAGGCGGATAAAAATTGTTCGAAGGGACGCCGGCCGGCGCGCTCCGTCGCCGAATCGGGCGGCATGTGCCTCATGTTTTTTCGGGGGCTGCGCGGCGCGGGGAGGGCCGCACCCTTTGTCGAAAGGTTGCGGGCACCTTCGGATGCGGGCGGACGCGACGCAGACGCAGCTGGAATTCGTGTCGGATGGTGCCTCTCGCTTCGCGGGGTGCATGTCTGGAATGTGGAGAGTAGGTGCGTGCGGGCGTTCCTCTTAGGCCCTCCTGGCGACGTCGGAGGGCTGCTGAGGACGGTGATAGTGATTAATGCTGATGAGGAGGAGGAGGTGGAGGAGGAGGAGGATGTGGAGGAGGATAATGAGGAGGAGTAGGATGATGATGGTGAGGATGAGGATGAAGGTGAGGATGAGGATGGGGAGGAGGGATGCGGATAAGGATGAGGATACGGATGAGGATGAGGATGTGGGAGAAGATGAGGATGAGAGTTGAGTATAAGGATGATGATGGTGATGAGGATGCGGACGATGATGAGGATGACGGAGTGATGATGGTGATGATGATAAGGGTGAGGATGCAGACGAGGATGATGACGAGGATGATGATGAGGATGAGGAAGTGGAGGTTGATGATGATGAGGCGGAGTATGAGGTTTATGATGAGGACGAGGATTATGATAATGAGGATGAGGATTAGGATGAGGATGATGTGGAGGTGTTTGAGGACAAGGAGCAGGAGGATGAACACGAGGGAGAGGATGAGGACGAGAATGAGGATGACGATGTTGATGAGAATGCTGATGATGATGCTGCTGCTGAGGACGAGGATGATGGCCAGGATCAGGAGGAGGATGAGGATGACGTTGATGGTGATGATGACCGTGATGATGATTATGATTATGATGATAATGATGATGACGCTGATGATAATGACGATGATGATGATGACGATGATGATGAGGGATGATTGGTGAGGATGAAAGATGAGGATTAGGATGCGGTTGAGGAGGAAGATGCGGGTGCGGATGAGGATGAGGATGATGTTGATGATGATGTTGATTAGGATTGGGATGAGGATCAGGACACGCATGATGAAAGTTATTATGATGATTATGAGGGTGAGGATGATGCTTACGATATGGATGATGTTGATGATGACCATGCTGCTGATGATGATGATTGTGACGGTGATGGTGAAGATGAGCATGAGGATCATTATGAGGCTGGCGATGTTGATGATTACGAGGATGAGCATGAGGATGAGGGTGAGGATTATGATGAGGATAAGGATGAGGCTACATATCACGGGCAGATGTATTGGGATGCTACGGAGGAGGTGGATGTTGATACTGATGGTGATGATGATGATGATGATGGTCATGATTATCACCATGAGTATCAAGGAGAGAAGGAGGAGGATGATTACGATGATCATGCTCATGGTGGTGATGATGATGTTGCTGAAGACGGGGATGAGGATGAGGATGAGGACGCGGTGACGTGCAGGTTGATCAGGATGCGGATGATGAGGAGGTGGACGAGAACAAGGAGGATGCAGATGTGATTAAGGATGTGTACCATGATGATGATGCGGATGGGGAAACGGATGATGGTGACGAAGGGGTAGATGATGAGGATGAGGATGAGGGTGAGGGAGAGGACGATGAGAAGGATGTTGCGAATGATGATGGTGATGATGATGAGCATGGTGACGATGAGGATGATGTCGTTGGAGATGCGGTTGATGCCAGGAACAGGATGCGGATGAGGATGAGGATGATGATGATGAAGATGGTGTTGTTGTCGACGGTGAGGACGGAGATGAGGATTGGGTCGCGAGTGATAACGTGGATGATGATGAGGGTGATCTGGATGCGGGTGAGGATGATGAGGTCGAGGGTGGACTTGAGGACGAGGATGCGGATGCGGATCATGATGAGGATGATGATGAGGATGACCATGTTGATGGTGATGGCGACCACGATGAGGATGACGAGGATGCGGACGAGAAAGCGGCCGAGTATGATGATGGTGATGATGATGATGATGATGATGGTGATCAGGACGAGGACGTGAAAATGATGGGGATGCGGGTGAGGATGATGAGGGAGATGATATTCGTGAGGGCGATGATGAGGATGTTGATGATGATGAGGGGGGGATGCGGATGAGGATGACGATGGTGATGATGATGCCGGCGCGGATGATGGTGATGATGATGATGATGATGATGATGGTGATGATGATAATGATGATGATGATGATGATGGTGATGATGGTGATGGTGATGGTGATGATGATGATGATGATGATGATACTGACATCGATGATGAGGATGATGTGGATGAGGATGACATTGGGGACTTTGGCGATTGTGAGGTTGATGAGGAGGGGATTGGGATGACCATGGCAATGATGATGCTGCTGATGATGACGAGTATGATGCTGTCCATGAGGATGGTGATGAGGAGGAGGAGGATGACGATGGAGAGGATGCGGATGAGGAAGCTGATTCGGATGCGGATGTTGATGACGAGGATGCGGAGACTGAGAATTATGATGGGGATGATGACGCTGACGAGGACGCGGGAGCGCATAAGGATGAGTATGATGCTGGTGCTGATGATGACGCCAATCTGATGGTGATGACGATGATGACGGTGGTGATGATGCTGCTGATGATGTTAATGATGATGTTGAGGATGTTGAGGAAGAGCAAGAGGATTGAGATGAGGATAGTGAGGATTAAGATGAGCACGAGGTTGGAGCTCAGGTTAATGATGCTCATGGGGGTGAGGATGCGGACGGGGATGAGGATGCGGCTGAGGATCATGAGGAAGTGGGTCAAGATGATGAGGATGCGGCTTGGGCCGCTGAGGCAATGGCTGAAGATGAGGATGAGGATGTTGTAGATGGTCATGATGCCGAGGCTTAGGACGCGGACGCGGATGAGGTTGATGGTGTTGATGATGTGGATGACGATGTGGATGATGATCATGATGATGATGATGATGATGATGATGATGATGATGATGATGCAGATGATGATATTAATGATTCCCTTGAGGATGGTAATGATGATGAGGATGAGTATGAGTATGGGGAGTGCGGATGATTGTTTCGATGCTGATCATGATGATGCGGATGAGGCTGAGGCTGATGATGCTGGTGATACTGACGACTATGAGGCTGGTAACGGTGATGAGGATGACGAGGAAGATGCGGATGATATTGATGATGATGAGTATGATGAGAGGATGTTGTTGAGGATGAGGATGTGGCTGATCTTATGAATACGGATAATGAAGGCGATGGTGAGGTTGATTAGGAGGGGATTGGGATGACCATGGCAATGATGATGCTGCTGATGATGACGATTATGATGCTGTCCATGGGGATGGTGATGAGGAGGAGGAAGATGACGATGGAGAGGATGCGTATGAGGAAGCTGATTCGGATGCGGATGTTGATGACGAGGATGCAGAGACTGAGAAATATGATGGGGATGATGACGCTGACGAGGACGAGGGAGCGCATAAGGATGAGTATGATGCTGGTGCTGATGATGACGCCAATATGATGGTGATGACGATGATGACGGTGGTGATGATGCTGCTGATGATGTTAATGATGATGTTAAGGATGCTGAGGAAGAGCAAGAGGATTGAGATGAGGATGGTGAGGATTAAGATGAGCACGAGGTTGGAGTTCAGGTTAATGATGCTCATGGGGGTGAGGATGCGGACGGGGATGCGGATGCGGCTGAGGACCATGAGGATATGGGTCAAGATGATGAGGATGCGGCTTGGGCCGCTGAGGCAATGGCTGAAGATGAGGATGAGGATGTTGTAGATGGTCATGATGCCGAGGCTTAGGACTCGGACGCGGATGAGGTTGATGGTGTTGATGATGTGGATGACGATGCGGATGATGATGATGATTATGATGATGATGATGCAGATGATGATGTTAATGATTCCCTTGAGGATGGTAATGAGGATGAGGATGAGTATGAGTATGGGGAGTGCGGATGATTGTTTCGATGCTGATCATGATGATTCGGATGAGGCTGAGGCTGATGATGCTGGTGATACTGACGACTATGAGGCTGATAACGGTGATGAGGATGACGAGGACGATGCGGATGAGATTGAGGATGATGATTATGATGAGAGGATGGTGTTGAGGATGAGGATGTGGCTGATCTTACGAATACGGATAATGACGGCGATGGTGAGGATGAGGATGCTCATGAGGATAATGATGAGATTGAGGATGAGGAGGATGATTAGCATGATGATGGCCATGGCGATGATGACGATCATGATGGTCCTGAGGATGATGCTTCTGATGACGATGGTGATTTCGATTATGTGGATGCTGGTGGTGACGATGATACTGATACTGAGGATGAGGATGCTGACGATGACGGTGATGATGATGACCATGCTGCTATCGATGAGGATGAGGCTAATGATGATGACGACGCTGTTGTCGATTATGATGTTGACGATGATGTGGATGATAGTGATGGTAGGGATGGGGATGATAATGAGGATATGATGCCGACGATGAGCATGATGATGATGCTGAGGATTCGGTTTCCAAGGATTGTCATGGAGATGCTGATGATTGGGATGAGTGGGAGGAAGATGATTATGGTGTGGATGCTGATTGACGCGGTGATAATGTGGATGACGCGGATGATGATGATAATGTTGATGATATTGTTGATGCGGACGGGGATGAGGATGGGCACGCTGATGATTATCAAGCTGAGGATGCGGATGAGGACGATTGTGAGGATGGGCATTGCGATGAGGATGATGATGAAGTTGGTGATGATAATGATGATGATGATGACGATGCTGTCAAGGATGATGATTATGAATGGGATGGTGATGACGTTGTCTGTCATGGTGATGATGCTGATGGTGCTGATCATGATGATCATGATGAGGATGAGGATGCCGATCTTAAGACGGATGATCAAGAGGATGCGTATTATGCTGATCTTGATTATATTGATGAGGATGTTGATCAGGCTGTTGATGATGGGAATGAAGAACCATGATGACCAGGATGAGGAGGATGAGACTGATGGAGATGGTGATGACGATGATGATGCTTTGGCTTCGGCCGTTGAGGATGAGAATGAGAACGAAGGTGAGGATTGGGATTATGATGGGAGTCAGTATGCGGATGGTGAGTATGATGAGGATGCGCAGTATGACGACGTTCATGCTGGTGACGTGGATGATTCGGAAATGGTGATGACGATGAGGTTGCTCGTGATGTTGAGGATGAGCATGATGAAGACGATAAGGATGTTGATGAGGCTGAGGATGAGGATGAGGATGACAATGATGATGATATGATGATGATGCTGATGGAGACGATGATGCTGATGAAGACGATGATGATGCTTATGACGAGGATGAGGATGAGGATGGTAATGCTGCTGATGATGGAATGACGAGGCAAGTGCTAACGCTGACGACGAGGATTGGGATGATGAGGAGGTTGTGGATGATGATGCCCCTGGGGACTCAAATGATGATGCTGATGATGATGATGCGGATGACGATGAGGATTATGTTGATGATGCTGATGATGATGATGATAATGCTGATGATGACGATGATGATGACGATGACGATGATGACTATGAGGATGAGGATGACTTGGATGACGAGGATGATGATGAGGATGATGATGCCGATGTCGGACAGGGCGATGAGGATGATGACGGTGCCGATGGATGTGATGACGACGATGATGATGACCATGACGATGACGATGGTGATGTTGATGCTGATGCTGATGCTGATGTTGAGGCTGCGGCTGAGGATTTGGACGATGATAATGATAATGATGCTGATGATGACGATGATGACGATAATTTTGATGATGACGGTGATGGTGATTATCAGTACGACGACGGGGCTGAAGATGATAATGATAATGACGATGCGGATGATGATGATGCTGAGGATGACGATTGTGATGATGAGGATGAGGATGAAGATCAGGATGATGATGTAGATGATGCCTATGCGGGTGTTAATGATGATGTGGATGATGTTGATTGTGTGGATGGTGATTGTGTGGATTATGATGATGGTGCTGATGATAATGATGGATGTGGATGATGGTGAGGATGAGGATGATGTTGATGATGCCGATGGTGATGAAGATGGCGATCGTCATGGTGGGTATGCGGGTGGGGATGTTGATGGTGATGGTGAGGATGATGACGAGGATGCTGAGGATGATGCTGTTTCTACATGTAGGGGGTGAGGATGATGTGGATGATGAGTATGCGGATGAGGATTGTGATAGCGATGCTGAGTTTGTGATTGATGGCGATGAGGATGATGATGATGACGATGATGATGCTGATGCTGATGATTATGAGGATGAGGATGATGCGGGGATCAGGATGAGGGTGGTGATGATGCTCATGATGATCATGATGAGGGTGAGGATAAGGATGGTGATGATGATGATCATGGTGATGATGACGACGAGTATGACAGTGATGATGATGACGATGACGAGGATGAGGATGAAGATGAGATGGATTTTCTGAGGCTGTTAATACAGATTGTAATGTCGATGCTGGTGCTGATTCCGAGGCTGATGACGCTGATGACGATGATGACGATTACGCGGCTGATGATGATGTTGATGATGATGCTGAAGACGATTGCACGACTGGTGATGATGAGGATGTGGAGGATGAGGATGAAGAGAAGGATGTTGATGATTATGATGATGATAGGTATGGTGATTGGGATGAGGATGAAGATGTGGATGAATATTAGGATGAGCAGGGAGATGATCATGCCGATGACGACGATGGTGCTTATGATGATAATTCTGTAGGTGATGATGATATCGCTGTGGACCAGGTCCAGGACCAAGATGATGATGCTGACGATTATGCCGATGCCCATGGCGATGATGATGCTGATGAGGATTATGATGAGGATGAAGATGTGGACGGTCAAACTGATTATAATTCTGAGTGTGAGGATGAGTGTCAGGATGATGCTGAGGCTGATGATGACGATGATGATGCGATGCGTATGATGATGGTGATGTTGGTGATGCTGATGATGATTATGATGGGGATGATGCTGATGCTGATGATGATGGTGACAACGACGATGATGAGTAGGAGGATGACGATATTGGTGATGGCTATGGGGAGGAGGAGGATGATGATGAGGTTGAGGATGAGGAGGATGAGGATGATGATGACGAGGAGGAGGAGGAGGAGGAGGTTTGGATCAGGGTGAAGATGAAGATGTGGATGATGATGATGATGCTGATGATGATGATGATGATGATGATGATGATGATAACGACGACGACGCCGATACGGACGGCGATGACGACATGGTGATGATGCTGATGATGATAATGTGAAGGATCATGACGACGCTGATGATGACGATGATGGTGATGATGAGGAGGAGGATTGTTGACGACGATGGTCGACGTAGACTATGGCAATGGCGATGGCGATGATTGTGATAATGATGATGATGCTGATGATGATGATGATGATGGTGATGATGTTGATGTTGATGATGAAGATGATGGTTGTGATGAGGATGTTCATCAGGAAGATAATGACAATGATGATGATGATGATGATGATGATGATGATGATTATGGTAAGGTTTATGCTGATTACGATGACGATGATGATGATGGTGGTCATGATGGTGATCATGATGATTATGTTGATAATGCTTTTCAATGGCGGCATAACCTGGGGAGGAGGAGGTGGAAGAGCTGGGGAGGGATGGGTATCTGGTGGGTCGAGTGGGAGGAGGAGGGAGGGAGGGAGGAGGGGGTGATTATGGAGGAGAAGAGTGTACATCAATCAAGGGAGTCGGAGGGAAGAGGCACGGAGGAAGGATTTCGGATCGACAGAGGGGACCACGAATATTGTCATGCTGTACATACTGTCTGCGGCTTATGTTTTTGTTCGTCGATGTATTGCATACGGGTTTACTGCCGCACTGTACCTCACTCTCTTGCGTTGGGCTTGCGTTTCTCGAGCGTGCAGTGGATCGCCTTGTGATGCTGCTACTCTGAACACTCGTTGTATCTGTCTCGACCTCCTCATTGGCTGCGTGTTGTATTGCCTTTTCCGAAGCCGCCGTTTCCTTATCGATGTCGGCATGGGATCTTCATTCGAGAATGTTGACGCTATAGGTTGACCGTGTTACATGCGCTTTTTGAGTGTGCCCCGTCGGAGAAGTATTCGTTGACGTTGGCAGCTGCATGTTCCCAGTCCCCTTCACATTCTCCTCCTTCATCCTCCGAGCGTGCAGGGCTTTCTTCGTGATCTACCTCGGCGCTTGCTTCTTTGCGTCCCTGAGCCTTGTCACGAGCCTCATCGGCGGGGAGGGTTGGGCGCTGCACGAGGAGGAAGAGGAAGGTTAGGAGAATGGGGAGGGATGGTGATGATGAGGATGAAGAGGAGGCTCTACAACCTTTTACCGCTACCCTTTGCTCTGGGAAGACACCAGAGGTGTTGATGGGGATTACTTACCATCGGGACGGGAGAGCGCGCCTCGTGGCAGCCTCCTCGGCCCCAAGCCCCTGCAAGATCACCACAGCGTCGGCCGCAGCACTCCATCGCGTGACGGGTGGGGCCGCGGCTTCCCCCTGGACCGTGTCTGACTCGATTTCTGCCCCGCTGCGGCCGGCGGCGGTCCAGGGCCCAGGGGTCTCGCAGAGGATTGCGCTCCTTGGGCTCCTCGCGGGGGGTCGGGTCTGGCTGTTGCGGGGCCCGAGATGCCATCGGCTACGAGTGACCGGACGCCATGGTGGCCCGTGGTGCGGGCACGCTGGGGTCCCCAGTTGGCGGAGCGCGATGCTATAGCAGCGACCCGCGCGCTCGGGTTTGGCCCCTCCGCGCCCTCCGACAGCCGCGCACCAAAGGCCACTCTTGCTTGGGGCCAGTAGCCGATGCCAGAGGCCAAACACTGAAGACGCTCATGACGTTTCCCCTTCAGACCGTTCCTCTTCGACGACCTGGCAGTCATCGGGCAGCAAGCAAGGCCCGGTCGAATCGAATCGGTCCGCAAGCGGACGTGGGCAGAAAGCTATAAATTCGTGTGGGCGGGCGATGGAAAATCTGCATGCAAAGCTGAACTCAGAAGTCTTGCGTGTAGCCTTCGACCTGCGCACGCCATTTCCTGCGGTCTCGAGCAGCGACATACCATGGCTCACCAAACTTTGCAAGAGAGTTTTTTTGCAAGTGATCGTCCCAACGACATGCTGGACGACCTCGTCCACGGCCTGCCCCGGGATAGGTTGAGGGCGGGCTCCAGCTTGATACACGGTGCGCCCAGCCGTCGGGTTTCTGCCCAAGCTGGCCGGCGAAATTGTACTGCAGGTGGGCCAGCCTTACCCGCCAGCTTCGAACAGGGTACAATGACAGAGCCTTGTCGACCCGGTCGCTCATTCGACGCATGGTGACGTTCCAGACTTCGTCGTCAAGCCGCACCCACCCCACAATCAAGCGCAGCATGCGTCGTTGCAGGACGTCCAGCTGATCCTTCTGGCGCGCCGTCGTTGGCAGACCGAACAGCACCGTAGGCGTTACGACTGAATCGAAGAGCTTGAGGCGGCGACGGATTGAAATCTGTCTGTCGGTCAGTATACTCCGTCGCCCATGGAACTTGCCCCAAGCGGCCTGCAACCGGTGCGACAACTCAACGTCAGCGCGTTGACGCAGGGACCCCGGTAATTTCCTTCCCAAATATAAATGAGTGTCACTGAGTCACCGGGCAGATATGATGTAATTGACAGCGCAGACCGTTCCCCAGAGGCATGATTGGTGTGAGCTTTTCAATCAGTATGCTCGCCGCGCAGCTGACCGAAGTGTCGGGCAGATCTTCAACGGCTGCCAGCCACACGGCCGTGTCAACATACCCCCGCAGCCAATGTCTGACAAAACTGACGTCTCTGTTGTTGCGTGGTTGATTTGAGCATGTGGTTGCGCATCAGTTGGTTGAAATGGGCGCGACGTAGTTATCCCTTGTACCTTCGTCAAGATCGATCTGCATATGTTGTCATGAGCAGCGCACGCCAAGAACTAATTTCATCATGCGTTTACACTGGGGGGTACGTACATGCACGGCGGCGTTGGATATTTACAGACCTATGACCAGCGATCTGCCGCTTAAGGCCATTCGAGATGGAACGGCGACCCACTGCGGAGATTGATGTTGATTTTGGCGGAGGTTGTGAGATTGGCAATTCATTCAGGTGCCGCTAGCGCTGGGCCGGGGCATCGGAGGGGCGGTGCCTCGAGGTAGAGGGCGGACGGAGGAGGGTGGATGTATCGTGAAGAGCAGAGGGGGTTGGGAGGAGAGGGGATGGGAGTTCAACACAAGAGGAAGGCGAAGGGGGAAGAGGGGTGCATTAGGGGAGGAGGAATGGGAGGAGGAGGAGGAGGAGGAGGTTGCGGAAAATGGGAGGGAGAGGGGAGGGAAGCGGAGGAGGAAGGGGGGCATGCGGGCGTGGAGGGAGAGGTTGGGGGGGCAGGGGCACAGTTCCCCCTACCGATCGTGAAAACAGTCTGGGGGTCGAGGTGTTTGTTCATTCTGAGAATGGTCGGACAAAGCGGGGAGTAAGGAACATGTGCGTGTGTGTGTGTGTGTGTGGGTGGGTGGGGGGGGAATACCTTTTGCATGCAGCTGATGTGCTATGCCCAGCTTCGCTGTAACCTTTTCCGCTGCACTGGCCTCGTAGATCACGCGCGCGGCGGGCTGCGATCTATTGGGCGTCGTGTTTGCAGATTTTCCCACAGACTTCAAGTGCGGACATACGTATTTGTAATGTGTAAGCCTCGACCCTGTAGAGGCCAATCGCGCGCTCCCAAACGTTACAGTGTAAGCCACGTGGTGGGCTCTTCCTGGCAATATCGCTTGGAAGGCGATATGCTATACATGTTCTGTGTTACACGTTCGAGTCGGAGGTGCGTCTCCAAGCTGAGCACACGGAGCCAGCATGTTCTTTTGCGCGCCACAATGATGCGATGATGCGATGGATTGCGGAGTGCCCAGAGAACGGGAGGCGATACGTTCATGAAAACGCACTTGGATAGCAAGGCGGCGTGGGCTTGCGTCCCTGGGCTGGGTGCTCGCTGGAGATGGGAACCAGCAGGGGAGAGAAGGGGAACAGGCCAGCCAGCCGTGCAGGAGGAAGACCATGATGATCGGAGGAGGGCCAGCCGACGCAACGGCGGCCCTCCCTGGCGTCCTTCGTGTTGTGTGGGCCTCCTGGTGGTTTCTCGTTGCCGCGGCTGGATCCGTGTCGAACATCGGGTCAGGTTGGACTCTGGGAAGGGTCCGGGGGCACAGTTTTTACCGGATGTGAGCCAGGTGGGAGAGCCACCCGCGTCTGCTTTGAGCCTCCTCCGAGAGGGGTGATGTGATGAGTTGGAGCAGCATCAACAGCAAAGGAAGTGCTAGAAGAGCAGGAGCGGGGGTAGGAGGAGTATGAGGAGCATCCATTCAGCACGGTCGAGCGAGTCAGAGGGCCCCGCCTATTCCCACCCTCGCTCAGAATAAGAAGCAAGTGTGTCACAGCTTGATGTTGGGTTTGGAACGCCGTTCCACCCAGCAAGCGAAGGGCGCTCGCGCGCGGCCCCGCCTGTGACGGGTTGGCGGAACTGCGCAGGCTGCGCAGGGGCGCGAGCGGCAAGCCTTCTGGCGGGCGCGGCGAAGACGAAGTGTGCACCGCACTGGCACAGCACCGCCACTCGTGCTCACACATTTCGCAGCGCTGGGGGCGAGGTTGGCATTTCGCCCGCTCTCGCGCGGCCCCGCTGCCGCTGTCGCACCCATACGATTCGGCGAACGAAGCATGCGCCACGCCCGCACGGGAACGCCACTTCCAAGCGAAATGTTCACGGAGCTCACGCGGGCCCCCAAACATTTTGGCGATCAAGGAGTGTGCGTCGCGCCGGGGCGGGAACGCCACCTTCACGCGAAAGCTGCGCGGTGGCGAGACGACAGCGACATTTGCGTCCTCTTGCGCGTCGACGAAGTTGCGTGCGAAAGTGTGCGCTGCGCCCAAGCGCTCCAGAACATGAGCGCGGCGCTGAAGCGAGAACGACATTCGTGCCTTTCGCGTATGATGGGCACCCCGTCCCACTCCTGGCATACATTTTGCACCACGGACGACGTTATGCTCATGTTGAGAACGAAAGCATCGGCTGACTAGGTGGCACAGTCGGAGTATATCTGAAGGCAGACCCCAATGAAGGCTCGAGGTTGTTTGTCTTCATTGGCTGGTCATGCCGTCTGAGTGATTTGTTTATTCGATTGGTTGGGTAGTTGGTCGGTTCCGTATTTTTTGTTGGTTGCCAGAGGCCATTGAGGTAGTGGGCGTGCGACAAGCGACCACGTCCTTCACGACGTTTACCACACGTGTTTGCTCGCCGTCCTCATTTTTTGGCAGCCTTTTGAGGATCAAGCCCGGGCTGCAGCCACGCTGTTTTTGTGGATTTCCTTTCTCCGTTTTCCACATTAGTTGCAAGACGCGTTGCAGTTCAGTGCACTGACAGAACCTTGCGCGTATCACTTCGACCTTGTCTTGTGGTACGAAGGGCTTTGTGGCGCAGTCTTGGAGCATCGCTGAGCTGAAACGGCGAAAATACGAAAACCCAGCAACCTACGGACAATACATCAGTTTTCCTAGCCTGGGTCCTCGGAGCCGTTTGAGTCTCTCTTGGGGCGGCGTCCTCGAGGCCTGCTTCGTGGTCTGTTTGGGACTTCAACGGCCGTGGTGGGGCCTGAGAAGGCTCTCTCGGCCGCTCTGGAGCCCTTCGGAGTGAGCTGCCTCGGAGGCCCAAAGGGGATCCTGGGGAGGGTCAGACCCGCCCTTGTGAGTTCACATGGTGGTCGTGGATCCCCTGGAGAGGGAGGGTAAAACGCGCAGTGAGAGTCCAGTGGGGGTCGAGTTCGATTGCGGGCGAGAGGTTGAGTGGTGCGGGGGCCCAACAGGAAGCTTCGAGCGGTGGGGACTGTGGGGCTGATAATAATGGTAGTGATGATGTTTATGATGATGATGCTGCTGCTGATGACGATGATGATGATGGTGATGTTGATGGTGATGGAGATGATGATGCTAATGGTGATGATGACGACGATGATGCTGCTGCTGCTGCTGATGATGATGATGCTGCTGGTATTGCTGATGGTGATGATGATGATGATGATGATGATGATGATGATGATGATGATGTTGATGCTGATGCTGATAATGCTGGTGTTGGTGATGGTGATGTTGATGCTGTTGATGATGGGATTGGGGCTGGTTCCAGGCGAGAAATTGGAGGCCTGTTCCGAGAACAGAAGCTTTGAGCGGTCCAGATGCTGGGTCGCGGTGGGGGCAGGGGTTGGGGACGGACGGAGAATAGAGGGGTCGGGGCTGCTTCCAGGGGGCATAAACCGTGACATAAACACATTTTCGGAGGTCCGCGGGGACCTCCGAGAGTTTATGTTTGTGTATTTGTCGCTCCTCGAGGTCCCCCGCCAGAAATTGCAATGTCAAGGGGCCCCAGGAGAAGAAGTCTCGAGCGGTGGGGATGCCCGGGCGCCCCGGAGGTCTGGGTAGCTCTTGGGCGGGAAGTTGAAGGGAGGGGGTCCCAGGAGCAGAGGGTCCGAGCGGTGAGGATGCCAGGGCGTTGTGGCGGTCGGGGTCGGTCCTGGGCGAGAGATTTGTTGGGGGTGGGAGGGCTCCAACAGCAGAGGGTTCGAGCGGTGGGGACGTCAGGGCGCGGTGGGGGTCGGGGTCGGGTTGGGGCAAGCATCCGAAGGGTGTGGGGGGGTGGGGGGGGGTCAAGAACGAGGTCTTGAATTGTGGGGATGCGGGTGCGCGGTGGGGTTCGGGGTCGGTTCTGGGCGATCGTTTGAGGGGGGGTTCTAAGAACGGAGCGTTCCAGCGGTGGGGATGCCTGGGAGCCGTGGGGGTCGGGGTCGGCTCCGGGCGAACAATCGCACGGTGGGGATCTAAGAACAGAGGCCTTGCTGTACCTTGCTGTTCCAGCTCAGCGTATGCATTGTCAGTGCTTCGCGATTTCACTGCTATGGTGTTACTTCTTGGTCATTCCTGGTTTCTCTTTGCGTGTTCCTTATGTTTCCTTGCGGGGTCCTTGCATGTCCGTGTTGTTTCACTGCGTTGTTTTTGTTTGTTATGTGTTTTTTATTTTCACTGTTCTTCACTGCTTGATCCTGTTGGTATTGTTTCTCCCGTGTTCCGTTGGAAGGAAATACAAGGAAACAACAAAGACAACTAATCATCATGCCCGCAGGGCAGGAGTCACGGCGGGCCCGCGGGGGGAACCTCGCGCGCCAATCTCGCAATGAGTGGGTGCTCGGGGTACGGCCTCGACGGAGGTTGGCAACAATCAGAGCAATGTTTCTGTTGGGGCCGCGTTTGCGCCCCTTGTGGGGTTGGGCGGTCATCTCCAGCACCTGACGAGCTTCCCGAAGATCGACCCCCAAGTCGGTGTTTGCGGATGAGCCCCCACCTGGCAGAGTCTTGGTTGAGCCTTATTGGGATAAGGCAGACGTCATGTTTCGAAGTCGCGCGTGCAAGCGTATGCCATTTTACTGTCTCAGACGCCGCGCATCGGTGCCGGTCGTCGCGACCACACTCCTCGGAGGCTGTTCTCCGAATTGTTTGGTCGATTCGGCTGGTGTTTTGGCGCTGGATCGGGGTCCTCTCGCTCAAACTGTCTTCGCTTCAGAAATAGAAGACCCGCCGAGTTTCAGATACATGCAGATACCATTCCGTCATGATTGTTGTGAAGGTTCCATGCTCCTTTCCCTCAACGCCTGCTCCGTCCGCCGAGGAATTGAAGCGACAACACATGGAGGAGCATGCTCTGTGGCGCCGCATGCGGCATTGCACCATTCGTTTCCACACCAGGTTTGCGTGTTCTGGTGTTCGCCCGTTGCTAATGTTGCAAGTGTCTTGCGTGCAAGCATGTAATTGTTTGGTGCACGCAGGTAGTGAGCTCGGCGACGCCCACGACCTCTGGCAAGCGAGTGATTCACTGTTTCAGCTCTAGTTTGTTTATTTGCGCGATTGTTCGAATGCTGTGAAGATTGCCCATGGTTCATCCGAAGGGCTTTACTTTCTGTCGCCAGCCCTCCTTTGAGTTGGGTCAATTAGGTTGGTGGGTTGAGTCGATTTGATCGGTGGGTTGATTGGCTGACCGGTTGGCAGGCTTGCAACTCGGCTGTTCGGGTAGTTGTCTGGATAGATTGTCTGCAGATTGGCTGGCTAGTTGAATGGTTGAAGGTGTTGTTCGCAGGCTCGCTCGCCGTTCAGAAGGCTATCTTCGCTTTGGCACCTTCGCTCGATGCGGCGTCTTGTCTGTAGTATGTTCGTACTGTTATGGCTGCACTTTCGCGTAGTGTATCCGCTCGTTCTTTCCGCAGCAGTGGCTTGCACTCCAGGAGCAGCGCCTGCTCCTCAGCGCTGCGTTGGAGGACTGCGCTGCGCCTGCTGAGCTTCCGAAGGCGATGCAAGCGCCATGCTTGCGCTGGGGGAGAGAGATGGGGAGAGACGAGAGATCCTGAGAGAGAGCGTGGGAAAGAGAGAGACAAGGAGAGAGAGAGAGAGAGAGAGAGAGCGTAAGAGAGGCATCATATAACGGCGCACCGGGTCCGGGGGCCCGGGGCCGGGACCTCGGGGGGCCCAGAGGCTCGTCGTACCGCCGGACGCCGTCCAAGATCGTTCGCAGGCGGCTTCGGAACGCGCTCCGATGGCTCCAGATGCCTTCCAAGACGCCTGTCATGACACCAAGAAGGTCCCAGAAGCCTCCAAGACGCTCCGAGAGGCAGCCCAAGAGAGGCCCAAGAAGCAAACATCGTGCCATTCCTATGGGAAAACGTATATTTTTCGCATGTTCGCATCTTGGGCTTTCACCGCGTCCAAGACGGCCCAAGAGGCGCCCAAGACGGTCTACGAGGCCTCCGGGAGCGCTCCAAGGCTGCGCACGAGTGGCCCAGGACGGCCCCAAGACGGCCCAAGAGAGCCCCAAGACGAGTTCGAGAGGGGTCCCAGACGGAGAAAGCCAACCTCGAATTCCGAGCTTCCGGCCCAAGAGGCTCCAGGAGGCGCCAAAATGCCGCCAAGAGGCGCCAAAAGGCTCCCAAAAGCACCCCAAGACGTTCCGAGAGGCACCCCAAGAGAGGTCCAAGAAACAAAAATCGTGCCATTCCTATGGGAAAACGTATATTTTTCGCATGTTCGCATCTTGGGCTTTCACCGCGTCCAAGACGGCCCAAGAGGCCTCCAAGACGGCCTAGGAGGCCTCCGGGAGCGCTCCAAGGCTGCGCACGAGTGGCTCAGGACGGCCCCAAGACGGCCCAAGAGAACCCCAAGACGACTTCGAGAGGGGTCCCAGAAGGAGAAAGCCACTCTCGAATTCCGAGCTTCCGGCCCAACACATCCCAGGAGGCGCCAAAACGCCGCCCAGAGGCGCCAAAAGGCTTCCAAAATCAGCCCAAGACGTTCCGAGAGGCACCCCAAGAGAGGTCCAAGAAGCAAAAATGGTCCCATTCCTATGGGAAAACGTATACTTTTCGCATGGTCGCCTGTTGGGTTTTCACCGCGTCCAACACGTCCGAAGAGGCTCCCAAGACGGCCTAGGTGGACCCCAAGAGAGTTCCAAGACGGTTCACGAGGCGCCCAGGACGGCAAAATTGGACTCCAAAATGGCCTAAGAGAGCCCCAAGGCGTGCCCGAGAGGGGTCCCAGAGGGAGAAAGCCACTGTAGAATTCCGAGCTTTCGGCCCCAAGAGGCTCCAGGAGGCGCCAAGAGAGCTCCAAGAAGCCCCCACGAGAGACCCAGGACGCCCCAAGAGGCTCCAAAGGCGGCCCAAGAGAGCCCCAAGATGGGCCCGAGAGGGGTTCCACGCAAGTTGTTATTGTATCGCTCGGGAAAGGACGAGGATGAGGAGGAAGACGAGGAGGAGGAGGAGGAGGAGGAGGAGGAGGAGGAGGAGGAGGAGGAGGAGGAGGAGGAGGAGGAGGAGGAGGAGGAGGAGGGGAGGAGGAGGAAGAGGAGGAGCAGGAGAAGGAGGAGGAGGGGTGCTGTGGACGCCGCCGAAGCTTCCCGGGGAGTCCTGGGGGCACCTTGGTCTAGGGCCCCTCGTCGCAGCGGCTGGGCGCAGCCCGAAACGTTGGAGCGTTCGGAGTCCCGGGGTCGATTTTGAGACGACTTTGCGTTTCCAGTGTCTCGCCCTTCTCCTCGACAGTCGAAGGCCAGACTGACAGATTGCCTTGGGTTCCAGGGGCCACTCTGGCGTGGCCAGGTTGGAGGTTTTTCCTTGCTCGCCAGTCTGTAACCTCGCTGGCTCCCTCGCCAGATTGCCAACTTTTGCCAGAATGGGGCCGCCAGATTGGCGCCAGATTGGCTTCGACTTCGCGTCCCAAGATTTCAGTGGCTCGCTCTTCTCCTGGACAGTCGAAGGCCAGACTGACAGATTGCCTTGGGTTCCAGGGGCCACTCCGGCTTGGCCAGGTTGGAGGTTTTTCCTTGCTCGCCAGTCTGTAACCTCGTTGGCTCTCCGCCAGATTGCCAACTTTTGCCAGATTGGGGCCGCCAGATTGGCTTCGACTTCGCGTCCCAAGATTTCAGTGTCTCGCCCTTCTCCTGGGTAACCGAAGGCCAGATTAGCAGATTGCTTTGGGATCCAGGGCCACTCTGGCGTGGCCAGGTTGGAGATTTCTACTTGCTCGCCAGTCTGTTACCTCGCTGGCTCCCCCGCCAGATTGCCAACTTTTGCCAGAATGGGGCCGCCAGATTGGCGCCAGATTGGCTTCGACTTCGCGTCCCCAATTTATTCTCACAACGATTCCTGGGTCTGTGATTCGACAGAACCTAAGCGCGCGCGAAGCGCGCGCGTGGTTCTAGTCTATATCTATACATAGATCGAAGAGAGCGCACGAGAGGCAGAGACAGGGAGCGAAAGAGAGAGAGAGAGAGAGAGAGAGAGAGCGACGTAGACAAACACATACAGAGGACACGAGTCTCAGACAGCTACATCGATGCCAGAACGAGTGGTGTACACAGGAAAAGCATATAGACCTACACATGGACAGACGACAGGGAGGAAACCGAGAGAGAGAGAGAGAGAGAGATATGCATTTGTTATATACGTGTATAGGGAGAGAGTGGACGAGTTGAAGGAATCATGATCCGTCTTACGTTTCCCGATTTAGTTTTGCTCGTCTGTGAACAATTGGTGGGTGCGGGGTGCTTCGCCCCTGCAGTCCGTGGGAGTACCTGGGGTTGTGGTTGCAATGCCAAGCGGGCGTAAAGCAGTGCCGGCCAATGCAAAGCGAAGCGATGCAATTCAATGCAACGCAAACGCAAAACAGTGCCAAGCAATGCGCTCAGCCACGCCAAACAATGCCGAGCTATGCCAGTCAACGCCACGCAACGCCAAGAAATGCAAAACAGTGCCCAGCAATGCGTTGCATGACAGTCCTTTGCATTGCTCAGAACTGCCTTTAACTTTGTTGGAAGAAAATGCGCCTCATTGGGGTCGCGCCGGATTCACTGCATGCGTACGTCGCACTGGGTCTTCGGAGCGCCAGGAAGCTAGAAGACGGCACGGATAGAGACAGGATGTCCCGAATATTACCCAAGGACAGCTTGAGCGCCTCCCAGGCGGCCCAAGACGGCCGGTCCCAAACGGCTGCCGAGCGGTCCCGAAAGCGGGCCCCAGGAGTCTCGAACAGGCCCTCTCGGAGGCCCCTGCGACGCAGAAATCGCTGATTCGGTTTAGAGCTTTGGAAGTTTAGCATGCGTACTTCTTCGGTCGCCAGGAATTGCCCCAGAAAGCACAAGATGCTCCCAGGATGGCCCCAAGACGGCCCAGAGGAGCTCCCAAGAAACCCAAAGAACTGGCAAGAGGAGGGCCCTCGCCCGAGGGTCCAACCCCGAGAAACCGAACACGGCCTCTGAAACGGTGAACGATTGCCCAAGAGGGCCACAATATTGAATTGTAGCCATTTTGGCCCAAGCGTTGGCTCAAGCTACGCCGGCCGAAGAATTCGAGTTCGCTCAATATCCATTCACACGGGGCCCAAGCGTAGTTGAGCTCCCGCGTGTTTCCATGATGCTTGAATGGTGACTCATTTTCCAGGCTGGCAGTGAGAAAGCGTCCCGCTGGACACCTGCTTGCATTTTCCGTAAAGAGACCAGCTGGGGAGGCAGCATGCAGGCAGGCGGATGGGAGCATCGGTTTCGCGAGCTATTACTTGCAAATCCTGATTTGGATGCAACCATGGACAGGAATGTGTACTTTGCAGGGGGATCTGGCTGTATCCCATTTCCTGTGAGGGAGCGGTTTGTTGATGTTGTGCCTGGTCCGTTGAGGCGCTAGCGATGCAGTGGCCAGCTGCATGTATGCTTGCATTGACGGCGCGGTATTGGGTCATGCGGTCATTTAGTGACAAGCGCAATTGGGATACATGCTTCTTGCTTGCAGAACGAGACAGATTATCGAGTTGGGCAACTCAAATGGTGGGTTCACTTTGGGTGAACAGATCAAAAAGCTCTTAGAGATCACCTCTGTCAATGAGATCCTTTGGACACAGTGCCGCAGTATGTCCGTTGACACAGATGGTGCAATCCGCCAGGCGCTGAAGCAGTACAGTGTGGAGGGCATCTGAAGAAACTTGACCGTGGTTTGGGTAAGCCATAGCAAATTGGTTCTGGAAGATCGTCGTCGTCCAACGGGTGAGGATGAATTGCTTGGCTGCCTTGCCACTTGCGATTGGCTCAGTGCCGACTTTACTGGACGCCCTTTCTGAAACGGCATCGGATCGCGTCACTACGAGGACTTGTCATCAAATTTGATCGAAGCGACGTTGGAGGAATTGGAGAAGCGCATGCCGCTAGAACATTTGAAGCGATCGTGGCTGTATACTTGCCGGTTTCATTGAGTAACCAGGGTTTCAATAATTGTATTGCGTTCTTGCGCCCCGTGGCAAGCGCCAATTGCTCTCGCCACCCAGGCATTCTGGGTGGCGATTGTTCGAGAGGGCACGGGAGGCTGTCACGTGTGACAGTTCTTGTCCTCAGGCTTGGGGGGGCCGTGATGATGATGGTGATGATGATGATGATGGTGATGGTGATGGTGATGGTGACTTCAATGGTGATGGCGATGATGATGATGCTGATGATGATCATGATGCTGATGTTGATGTTGATGCTGCTGACGATGATGATGGCAACTGAGATGCTGCTGTTGTTGATGGTGATGATGATGATGCTGACCATGATGATCATGATGTTCATGACGTTGATGATCGTGATGTTGTTGATGATGATGAACAGCGCTGTTGGTATTGCTTACGATGATGTTGATTGGACATGTGATGATGACGGTGATAGTGTAGATGATGATGGTGATAATGATGATGATGGTGACGATGATGATGATGATGATGATGATGATGATAATGATGATGATGCAAATGATGATGATGATGATGATGATGATGATGATGATGATGATGATGATGGTGATGGTGATGATGATGGTGGTGATGATGAGGATGATGTTGATGATGATGGTGATTGTGATGGTGATGGTGACGCTGCTGATGATGCTGATGATGATGATTATGATAATTATGGTGATGGTGATGGTGATGGTGATGATGATGGTGATGGTGATGGTGATGGTGGTGGTGGTGGTGGCGAGGAGGAGGAGGAGGAGGAGGAGCAGGAGGAGGAGGATAATCAATGGTGAGGGTGGCGAGGATGCTATAAAGGGGGAGGAGGAGTAGGAACAGGAATAAAAGAAGGAAGACAAAGGCCGTAGCATGTTACCTTTCGTCTTCATTTGTTGAGGATCCGTCATGGATCTCGTTTGGGCCGTCTTGAGGCTGGTTTGGTTTCTTGTGAGGCAGTCATGGGGGCCCCTGTGGGACCCTCTTGGGCCGTTCTTTGGCCATCCCCGGGCCTTCTTAGGGCCCTGCAGCCTTGGAGCTCTCCTGTGCCGTTTTGGGGCCATCTTGGGAGCCTCTTCGGCAGTCTCGGGTTTCTTTTGGAGGCCGTTTGGGCCGTGTCCAGGCATCAAGAGCTCAAAAAGGTGACAATCCCAACCACATTCAAGAACCTTAGGAAAATCATTGATGCTTGCCTCTCGAGGCCCTCGTGTGACAGCTCTTGGGCTCTTGCCACATCTCGAAGGCCTCTTGGGCCGTCTAGAAACCATCTTGGGCCGTCTGGGAGCATTATCGGGCCATCTTGGCGGCCTTGGTGGCTTGCCTTGGCCGTTTGGGTAGCCATCTTTCGGCGGCGAGCGAGGGGGGAAGTGAGAAGGAGAAGTCCTTCTCGGAAGGCCGCGGGACTTCTCAGAAGCCCTCGTGCCTTCTTAGAGGTTACTGTCTTCGGGGAAGGCTTAGAAAACTTTTCAGAAGTCCGGGGAACTTCTGTGCCCTCTGAGAAGGCCCGCCCCTTCTCACTTCCCCTTTCGCTCGCCGCCGAATCTTAGGCATCGTGGACGCCTTGGGGAGTGCCAGGGAAGTTTTAGTCGACCCAATGAGCCTCGGAAAAGGCAGATGCGGTGTATGCAGATAGGCGCTTCCCAGGGGTGGGGGTAGGCGATTACACAAGCCCTGCCAGACAACACTTGGCATTCTCCCACGCCCCAACGAGCCCAGGGGCACTGTGACTGATCATCTGAAGGCATGGGAACATCGTGCCAGGTTCGGTGATTCCGTCTTGTCTTGATGCCGTATTCTGCCCGTCTGCTCCTGTGTTGGAGAAATTACATTTGGACAACCAACGCCCTTGCACTATTCACGTGCCAGCCAAACTGCACAGTTGTGTGGTATCTGCCAGGGTGCAATTGTGCAAGACAGGCCAAGCCGCACCGTGCTATTACTCCGCGGATTCATTTCGACTGGGCCGCTGGATGCTACATCAATCAGGCCTACGATGGGCGCATGTCGCCACAAGAAAAGAGCCCCACGACGGCCCGAGGTGAGCCAGGACGGGCCCTGGGTGGCCGCACGAGGCATCCATTGCGGCCCAGAGGCGCCGACGAGAGTCTCACGACGACCCCAGGATGGGCCCAAGATGGCCCTCAAGACGCCCCCCCCCCTCAACCCAGAGGGCCCCGAAAGACGCCCTCCCGCCCTCAGTGTGCGTCCGAGAGGCCCCAAGCCGGCCAACGCATTGCTCCGCAGCCATTTTGGCCCAAGCTATTTTGTCTCAAGTCATTTTGTCTCAAGGCCCGAGGCTCGCGCTCCCACCCGACAGGCGCCCGCTGCATCTCGAATGTTCGCCCGTCATGCGCGCGGACAGGAGCCCGTTTCTGCCGCTCCAGCTCCCCCTCGACAGCGACTGCGAGCCAGGAGTGATCGCCCCGCGTGCGCAGCGCGCGCCGCGCGAGCAGCGCACTCTGGATGGGGCGGCGGCGCTGTCGGCGGCCGCGGCGGCGCTGGCTTTGCTGGTTGTGGCTTGGCGCGCGGGGCCCTCCACGGGGACCGCGACGCTTGCCTCCCTCGAGGCTATCATTGTCGAGGCCGCCAGCGATGTGAGTGGCGCTGATCCCAACGAGACCGACAAGTGCTCACAGACTGGGGAGTCTTGCGATCTTTCCAAGTGCTGTTCTGAGCCCGGCGCGAAATGCTACAAGAAAGACGACTACTGGTCCGCGTGCCACCAAACTTGCAACCCATACTACATGTGGACGGTGGATGATGGATGGGTCAAGGCGAACGAGACAGTTTGGGATTGCGAGGAGATTCGGTTCCCGTGCACGGAAAACGGGGCGCCTTGCGCACTTTCCAAGTGCTGCTCTGACCCGTACGCGAAGTGCTACAAGAAGAACGCCCGCTGGAGCTCGTGCAATCAAACTTGCGACCCAAGCTCCAGGTAGATGGAGAACAGCTGGGTCAAGACGAACGAAACAGTTTGGGATTGCGAGGTAATCAGCGTTGATATTATAGATGTTTCGACTGACTCCGATGCCGGCAACGTCGCTGCTACCGATGCTCCAGCAGACTCCGCGAGCAGCTCCGATGCTTCGACAGCCTCCGCGTGCTCGCAGACAGGGCAGTCTTGCGAACAGACCATGTGTTGCTCTGAGCCTGGCGCGAGGTGCTACAAGGAGAATGATGGTTGGAGCTCGTGCAACGAAACTTGCGACCCATACTACATGTGGACGGAGGATGATGGATGGGTCAGCTTGGGATTGCGAGGAGATTCGGCTCCCGTGCACGCCTCACGGGGCGTCTTGCGCACTTTCCAAGTGCTGTTCTGACCCCGGCGCGAAATGCTACAAGAAGAACGACTACTGGTCCGCGTGCAACCAAATTTGCGACCCAAACTCCAGGTGGATGGAGAACAGCTGGGTCAAGACGAACGGAACAGTTGGGGATTGCAAGGGCCTCACCGTGACTCCTGTCGAATCAGCGGATCCCATCAAAGATGCAGAAGCCGAGGACGAGAACGGCGCGTGCTCGCAGAATGGGGCTTCTTGCAAAAATTCCAAGTGTTGTTCTGAGCCAGGCTCGAAGTGCTACAAGAAGAGTGATGGTTGGAGCTCGTGCAACCAAACTTGCAACCCATACTACATGTGGACGGTGGATGGATGGGTCAAGGCGAACGAGACAGTTTGGGATTGCGAGGAGATTCGGTTCCCGTGCACGGAAAACGGGGCGCTTTGCGCACTTTCCAAGTGCTGCTCTGACCCGTACGCGAAGTGCTACAAGAAGAACGCCCGCTGGAGCTCGTGCAATCAAACTTGCGACCCAAGCTCCAGGTAGATGGAGAACAGCTGGGTCAAGACGAACGAAACAGTTTGGGATTGCGAGGTAATCAGCGTTGATATTATAGATGTTTCGACTGACTCCGATGCCGGCAACGTCGCTGCTACCGATGCTCCAGCAGACTCCGCGAGCAGCTCCGATGCTTCGACAGCCTCCGCGTGCTCGCAGACAGGGCAGTCTTGCGAACAGACCATGTGTTGCTCTGAGCCTGGCGCGAGGTGCTACAAGGAGAATGATGGTTGGAGCTCGTGCAACGAAACTTGCGACCCATACTACATGTGGACGGAGGATGATGGATGGGTCAAGACGGACCAGGAGATTCGGCTCCCGTGCACGCCTCACGGGGCGTCTTGCGCACTTTCCAAGTGCTGTTCTGACCCCGGCGCGAAGTGCTACAAGAAGAACGACTACTGGTCCGCGTGCAACCAAATTTGCGACCCAAACTCCAGGTGGATGGAGAACAGCTGGGTCAATACGGACAACTCAGTTTGGGATTGTGAGGTCATCAGTATCGAAGAAGCCCCGAACAGTGTCTGGGACGTTCTCGTTCGAATCTGGAACCTATGGAGGTAGCAGTCATTACTTCCGCAACCGTAGGTTCGTAGGCATCAGCACTGGCTTAGTGCTGCGACGGTCAGAGCCTGACTTTAACTGGCTTCTCTTTTGCATCCTGCAGGAGACCCTGGCAGCAGATCGAGGCGCCTGGCTCCTGATTGCCTTCTGCCCACTCGTCTCCGTATTCTTTTTGTTAGTAGTATTGTCTTTCTTTCTCATCTTCTTCACCGTCATCATTTGTGACAGACTACTGCGCCTTCACCTTTTCTCTTGACCCTGTCAGTCCAAGACGGCCTGAAGGGCCCGTGTAGGCAGGCTGTATCGAACTAGCCCGTCGCAGAGTTTCCCGTCGGGTTGCGATGCTGCGCGACGCGCAGGCAGCGCGCACGAGCAGGCTCTAATGTTTGTTGACGCTGCGCAAGCAGGCGGATGGCCCCTTGTGCGAGAGGACTGTGCGGCACGGCTAAACAGTTGTGCGGCGACTTTGTTGCCGTTCGTTAGGTTATTGTGGATTGTATGTGTTTCGCGGAACGAATTCCTGTGGCCTTCTGTTTCGATGGGGCCCCGAAAATTGTCTGGGAAGTTCTCGTTAGAATCTGGAACCTATGGAGGTAGCAGTCATTACTTCCGCAACCGTAGGTTCGTAGGCATCAGCACTGGCTTAGTGCTGCGACGGTCAGAGCCTGATGTTAACTGGCTTCTCTTTTGCATCCTGCAGGAGACCCTGGCAGCAGATCGAGGCGCCTGGCTCCTGATTGCCTTCTGCCCACTCTCGTCTCCTTATTCTTTTTATTAGTAGTATTGTCTGTCCTTCTCATCTTCTTCACCGTCATCATTTGTGACAGACTACTGCGCCTTCACCTTTTCTCTTGACCCTGTCAGTCCAATACGGCCTGAAGGGCCCGTGTAGGCAGGCTGTATCGAACTAGCCCATCGCAGAGTTTCCCGTCGGGTTGCGATGCTGCGCGACGCGCAGGCAGCGCGCACGAGCAGGCTCTAATGTTTGTTGACGCTGCGCAAGCAGGCGGATGGCCCCTTGTGCGAGAGGACTGTGCGGCACGGCTAAACAGCTGTGCGGCGACCTTGTTGCCGTTCGTTAGATTATTGTGGATTGTATGTGTTTCGCGGAACGAATTCCTGTGGCCTTCTGTTTCGATGGGGCCCCGAAAAGTGTCTGGGACGTTCTCGGTCGAATCTGGAACCTATGGAGGTAGCAGTCATTACTTCCGCAACCGTAGGTTCGTAGGCATCAGCATTGGCTTAGTGCTGCGACGGTCAGAGCCTGACTTTAACTGGCTTCTCTTTTGCATCCTGCAGGAGACCCTGGCAGCAGATCGAGGCGCCTGGCTCCTGATTGCCTTCTGCCCACTCTCGTCTCCTTATTATTTGTATTAGTAGTATTGTCTGTCCTTCTCATCTTCTTCACCGTCATCATTTGTGACAGACTACTGCGCCTTCACCTTTTCTCTTGACCCTGTCAGTCCAAGACGGCCTGAAGGGCCCGTGTAGGCAGGCTGTATCGAACTAGCCCGTCGCAGAGTTTCCCGTCGGGTTGCGATGCTGCGCGACGCGCAGGCAGCGCGCACGAGCAGGCTCTAATGTTTGTTGACGCTGCGCAAGCAGGCGGATGGCCCCTTGTGCGAGAGGACTGTGCGGCACGGCTAAACAGCTGTGCGGCGACCGTGTTGCCGTTCGTTAGATTGTTGTGGGTTGTATGTGTTTCGCGGAGCGAATTCCTGTGGCCTTCTGTTTCGATGGGGCCCCAGAAAGTGTCTGGGACGTTCTCGTTAGAATTTGGAACATATGGAGGTAGCAGTCGTCACTTCCGCAATCGTAGGTTCGTAGGCATCAGCAGGCGGCCACCGAAAAGTCTAAGAGACTTCCAGAAAACGTCCGCATCTGCCCAAGTCCAAGTGGAACACCCCTCCCCGAATGGGAAGAAGGGGTGAGGATGGAAGGGGAGACGCTACAAACCACCCCAGCACAGAGGGCTGCTGGGACGTTGGCTCCCTATTCAAGTCTCTAGCCGCTCCAACCGTCTGTGGGAAGAGTACAAGTCCCGCCGTGGTGGGCCCTAATATCACATCATTTGATTCCCCAATTCGTCGTCGCCTTGCGAACATTCGACCATGATGTAATGTCAGTTTCTCGGTGCACCCCTTGGGGGCCTCTTTCGGGCTGTCTTGGGTGCTCTCTGTGTGTGGATGGTTCGGGTTCTAACTATGGCAGGTCCCCCTCTCTTGGGGACCGTTTGCGAGTCACCTCGGCCTCCCTTGAAGCTCTTTGAGGCCCTCTTGGGCGGGTCTTGGGGACTCTTGGTGGGCCGTCTTGGACGTCTTGAAAAGACCAGCAGACCGAGCATGTGGAAATTGCACCAAGCCTTTGGCTCCTCAGTGGTTTGGGCCGCTTGGGTCGGTCCACCAGGGCCTCCAGTACGGCCCAAGAGGCCCGCCCCCAAGAGAGCCCCGAGACGTCGGCTTGGGCTACAGAGTTTTGTTGAGACGCCGTCTCCAGGGAGTTTAGATCTGGTCTGGACGGGTTGGGCTTCCCAGGGACCCATGGAGGCTGCGACAGGCGCCGCGAGCGCCCAACTCTGTTCGAGAAGTCTTGCCATGTGGCCTGGCATCGCTCGGACGTGTGCATTGTTCCTTCGGCGAGGACCATCGAGGAGCATCCTTGATCATTTGGCGAACAACCCACGCACGAAACCGAAAAAACCACAGGGAAGGGAATGGACGTCCGAGCGATGGCCAGGTGGCGCTTCAGGCCATCAAGGGTCGTTACAATTGTTCTGACTCCAGCATGTGTATAATCCCTGAGACCCTACACTGCGTGCTGAGAGCGCGGTTTAAGGAATATCCACGCAACTCGTGTCGGTCTCATTGGTTGGTCAATGTTGCCATGTGCCGAGTCTTGCTTCGTCCTTAGCTGGCATGTATGGTCCTTCCCTTCTATAGCGTGGTCCCGACTTGCCTTCAAAGAGCCAGGATCTCCTCGCCCACAATTCGAACGAGGAGAGCTTCGTCAGCCGAGAGGAGCGCCTGACCGAACCATCGGGCACTCGTCCACAATGTTTGCCCTTGCGCTCACGGTACGTCCCGTTCGTGCACCCACTTGCCCCGCAGCGAGTTTGCTCTACGGTCCGCTGTTCACGTGCGGTGGGCCTCTCGTCCCGCAGTGTTTGCCCGCTGTTGTGCTCCTCCTGTCCCTGCTTGGCGCGAGCAAGTGGCTCGGAGCTAATCGGGGGGGTCGCAGCGCTCTCTTGGGAGCAGGGTCGCGACACCGTGCAGTGGTCGTCCCACCCACGCCCTTCGGGTACGGGATTCGGCGGCCGGCGGACCAAGCCGGCCTGGCAGGGAGGTCTGGGACCAGTTGGCCGCATCGCACCAGTTTTTTCCCACGGTGCGCACACCACATATCTTGCTTGCACTCCTGGTGCGCCCCACAGTGCCTGGGCACACCACATTGCTTCGGCATTGCCTGCGGCAGTTTGCGCATAAAGAGTGCACAGCCGTGCTTCTGCAGACTCAGTTGTGCTTGAGGGCGCGTTGAGGTCGATAGCTGGATACTGACACCGATAGGAAGTGATATCGGTAGGTGGATGGTGAGGTCGATAGATGGGTCGTGGGATGATTCGGTCGGCAGTGACCTCTTTCTCTTTCTCTCTCTCCCTCTCTCTCTCTCTCTCTCTCTCTCTTTATAAATATACATACATCGTGAGATCGGCGGTAAGGTAGCGAGAGCTGTGGATAGCGCGGTCGAGCGGCATCTATATGCATATAGCTTCACATGTAAGTACAAGTGTATGTGGATATGCATGCACATACATGTAACATGTATTTTCGCCTAAACAAATATACACATATACATGTATACGTGGATGTGTATACATATAGCGAACCCGATCGGACGGCAATATCAAACCGAGAGTTGCGCCCATCCCTGTGTTACCCAAAGGATTGTATATGAGGTATGGCATTTGGCTATGCGACCCCAAGGTTCGACTTAGCATGGGATGTGCGGCGCGCAGAGGGCTTCACCGTGGCATACCAGAGTGAGGGTGCCGAACGGTCTTACACCATCATTGCATGCGTGTTGAACGTGTTGTTTGTTGTAAATGTGTTGTTGCTGTGCTGTCGTCGTCGTCGTCCTTGTCCGCGGCCCGCTCGCGACCCGCCGGCGACCCTCCGCGACCCGCCCGCGACCAAATCGCGACGCACCCGGGACCCATCCACGACCATCCCTTGACCTGTCCGCGACCCGCCCGCGACCCAGTCACATTGCTTCGACGAAGAGTCGGTGTCTGCGGCGGTCTGATGTTTTTTGGCTTTTAAAAGAGGCGCCTGAGGCGGGCTTCTTCAAATGTGCTCCGGGGCCTCGCAGACTGCCGACGTTCCTTCCCCCCGCCCCCTCACTCTTATTGCGAAGGCCTTACGGCCGGTGCCGCCGACCCTGAATGGCGACGACGACGACGACGACGACGACGAGCGCTCTTGGGGGCCTCTTGGGGGTAGTTTGTGGGCCTCTTGGGAAGCTCTCAGGGGCCGCTTGGAAGCCTCGTGGGGGCCTCTTGGGGCTTCCTGGGGGTCTCTTGGAGGGGGCCTGGGACGTCTTGGAGGCTTCTTGGACGGTCTTGGGGCTATCGTGGGCGTTTTCGGCCGATCTTTGGGCGACTCGGGGCCCTCTTGGGCCGTCTCGGGGGCCATCTTGGGCATTCGGACCTCATTTGGAGTGTTTTCGAGGTTTCTAGGCCGCCCGAGGGAAAACGAATCTGCCCCCCCACCCCCCCGGGACCCCCCCCACCACCCCCCCCGGGGGACCCCCCCCCCCTGGGGAGGGGATCGAAGGGAAGGGGCTTCCCTTCGACTCGATTACGACAATGCTAGATTTTTCTCTCGCTCACGAGCTTGAGAAGGAAGCTGCAGGGAAAGGCGACGACGGAGGCGACGACCGACGGAGACGACGACTCGAACAGCCAAGCCCCCCGCACACGCCGACAGGGTCGGTGGATTTACACGCTGCGTGGGCTATGATCTATGCACGACACGTGTTTTCCGGTCGTACACTAGACGCGCTCACAAAACATGAACCAGAGCGCACCAAGACAGTAGGGTAGCAGGTTTCGATGAGACCACTTGGCCACGACGCAAGCTGGGTGAATTCGATACTCCTGGTGTCTGCGCTGCGTGTGTCCCTGCCCACGCCCGCACCCGCCCGTCGGTCTTCCCGTTCTGTCGGTTCCCCGTCGCTTGCCCGCTCGAAGCTTGCGCGGTCGCACGTTGGGGTCAAGCCGGGGTGGGCTCCAGCTGTCCCAAGCGCCTCCTCGGGGCGCGGCGGAGAACTCTCTCGAGGTCCCCGTCCGCCCCCCGAGGGTGCCCCCCAGGGTGCCGGTTGCAGACCACACCCTGTGCAGGTCACACCCTCTGGAGTCGCCGAGGTTTAGACGCACCCCTTCTTCTTAGAAGGCGCGGGCCTTGTCCATAGATGTAGGTAGGGCCGGCGCCTTATAAGAAACAGCCTCCTAAGAAGCCTTCCCCCCTCTCCCAACCCCTTGTGGGCACCGCCTATAAGGGGGTGGGCTTGTTGGGGCAAGGGTGCCCAAGCTGAGTGCCACAAACGTTCCCCGCGGGGCGGTGCGCCCGAGGACCAGAGGGCCATCCTGCTGAGGTCGCGGGGTCGCGTTGCACGCTGTCGGGGCAGCTGGGTGCTGATGTCTTTGTTTCCACTGTTTTCCCAAGCGGTGCCTGCAGTGCCAGAATTCTCGCCACGGCTCTCAGGATCTGGCGCTGTGCGCCAGTGTATGGCGGTTGTCGCCATGGGTCTCCGCAGGGGGGGGCTTTCCGAAGCTCATGGGGACCCCACAGGGTTCCAAGAGCAATGGCCTTTTGGAACTCCATGGTGTCATCCTGTGCGCCAGGGTCGAGCCGTTGTCGCAAGGGGGTTCCACGCACCACACGAATGGAGGTCCTGCCCACGAGTTTTGGAGCCCGCGCGCGGATGTTGGTACCATGTCTTGTGAGGGGCAGTCTGCAGTGGATCGCAATCGTTCCACACTTCCTTTCGCGGCTGTTTTTCTTGTGTCCAGGGCAATCTTGGTTGCCACATGGGCGGGCTCGGTTTAGCGGCGCTCTCGCGCTCGTTTGGTTGTTTGCGTGCGGTCGTATCTGCGACTGCGCAGTATTCTGCGTGCGTTGAGCCTTCATTCAATACCGTACACGTTCGTACTTGTTCTTCCCAGTTATTTTTCCACAGCGGAAGGATGAGGATAGAGGCATGGGGAGGAGGGAATACGGCCCGTTGTCATGTGTTGTTTTGCAAGTCCTAGATCCGTCAAGGGAACCATAGGTTGAATTCTTGTCATTGTGACCTGTCTTGTTGTATGTATCGTCTCGGGACCTCTGCTTGAAGCTCTCATCAGCCCTTGAGCTCCGTTTGAGTGCGTATCTCCCTCATTTACACTTCAACAGTCTTCGCCGGCAGCAGTCAGTACAGAAAAATTGTGGGTCGTGTTGTGCGCAGCTAGGTGCGACGTTTTATTATGAATCGTTGACGCAATGCTCTCTCATGCTTGTGCCATGTGCCTGAAGCTGGTTGGCTGATGTCGAGCTTATTCTTGATTTGCTCGACCTGTTGTTGCCCGCCAGGGCTTCGCTGCCATGCGGCGTGCTGGACCAATCTCTCTCCACGCTGCTCTGTTATGGGAGACGCAAGGAAGGAGGCGCAAACCATGAGTATGCTGTATCAGTTCTGCGGTTTCGCCATGCGTACTGTGAATGATCACTGTGGCCTCCGCTTCTCAACTCTAGAATTCTACGATGCTGCAAGGGCCATGGGTACAGCCAAGACGCCGAAATAAGGACCATCTTAGGCTCAGATGGGGCTAGTGTTTTTGGGCCGTTCCTTATTCTGCGAAGATCTTACGGCCGGTGCCGCCGACCCTGAAGAGGGACGACGACGACGATGACGACGACGGCGACGACCACGACGACGACGACGACGGCGACGGCGACGGCGACGGCGACGGCGACGGCAATGACGACGACGACCACGATGGCGACGGCGACGGCGACGGCGACGACGACGACGACGCTGACGCTCTGGAGCCGAAGCTTCTCGCAGGGAGGGGTGCCCCCCCGCCAGCGGGAGATGTCACAACCCCCGGGGCCCTCCCCCCATCCCCCCTGGGACTCCCCCCCAAAGCGCCCCCGGACGGAAAAGCCTCTCTCTCTCACACGCGCCGACGGGGTCGGCGGATTTAGGTATGGGGACTTTTCCGTGGCCGACTTTCGCCGTGGTCAGACGTATTCTTCGCTCCTTATGCAGCGTCTCTTTGGTAGCACGATGACTGTAGCTCACTCGCCCATGCCCATGGCTGCACTATCTGTTAGCAAATGTAGATGTGCATTTCCCTCTTCGGATCGCGATGGGCCTCATAACTCTCAAGTTTCCGCGCCGCGTGCGCAGCTTTCTTCGGAACTTGTAGCTTGCACACGTGTCCGTCTGTGGGGCTCTTTTCTAGCCTTTCGGGCCTCCTGGGGCCCTCTTGGACCATCTTGGGTCTCTCCTGCGCCGTCTCAGGGCGCTCTGAGCCGTCGGGCGCATTCGGAGGCCGTCGGTGGGGCCATGTTGGGGCAGTCCTTAGGCCCTTCAGGGACACATTAGGCATATATTGGCCCTCTTCGGCCATCTTGGGGGCCTCTCGGGCCATCTTGAGGTCCTCTTTGGCTTTCTTGGAGCTCTCTCGGGGGCCTCTTGGGCCGCCTGCGGTCCATCTTGCAGTCCTCTCGGGCTGTCTTGTATGACCAGGACCTAGAAGAGGCGAGAACGTGCAAACCAAGCAAAACTGACGGGAACTCAATGCTGCTGTATTCTTCGGGCCCTGCGGAACTCTTTCTGGTAGGGCGTCTAGGATGGCTTTCTGGGCTGCCCTGGGGCGGTGTCAGGCCGTCCTGGGGACGAGGGAGGAGGGAGGAGGGCGGACGAAGGAAGAAAGGGGGGGGAGATGCAGGAGGGTCGGGCAGGGGAGGGCGGGGGGAGGGAGAGGGCGGGGGCAGGCGGAGTGGCTGACGGTGGAGGCGTGCCTGGAGGAGTGGATGGGGGAGGAGTGGCCCAGGGGGGCGCGGAGGCGGGAGGGGGGGGGCAGGAGGAGAGGAAGGGGAGAGAGAGAGAGAGAGAGAGAAGCGGGATGGCGGGACGTCGGAGGGACGAGGGATGACGAGACGAGGGAGAGGACAGGGAAGGATGGGACGATGGACAAAAATGAGAAGTGCATGCAACAGAGGTTGGGGAACGAAGGGTGAACGATGGACGGGGGGATTGGAGACTCTGCCTGATTGCGTAGCGATGTGAATGCCTTTTCCGCTGCAATTTCACTGTGGGTTGTTTTTCGTCCTCTGGGCTTTCTCAGCTTTGCTGAGAACTTTGAACCGGGGTCCCAAACTGATTCGTCTTATATGCTCCTTCCCCGTGGGGCTGGGGTCGTTGCAGGGTTCGTTCAACTTGCCGAGTAACTTTGTGGCGATCCCCCCGCAGTGACAACAAAACCATGTGTTTAGCCCAGCGTGGAGCCTCAAACCATGGGTTAAATAAGCACATCCCCCGCCGCATGTACTTGCGCCCCGAGGGGGCGGTCTCATATAGGTGCCATCTACATTAACAAGGTCACAGGGATTTGTCTGGAGCCGCTAGGGTAGTCGAGCTTTAGCCGAGGAGTTAGAGCATCTCGTGCATTTCTGCCGCGTGCGATCGACAGTGTAAGACGAGGAAAAGAGGGCGCACGAGGCAGAGGCAGGCGGTCTGGCTGGAGCCTTTGGCTGCGGCCTGCGAGCACGAGTGCCGACAGGGTTGACCTCGCGGTCAGCCTCTACAGCCTCGATGTGGACCCAAGTATCCTCATCCTAACTCAGTGCGCGTTCTGTTCAATAGCATTGTATTGCTGGCCGGCATGCGCGGGTCGACTCAGACGTTGCATATCCAGCTAATTCATCGGCACATGTGCTCCCATGGTCGAGGGAACTGCTTCTTTCTCCACTCACAAGGTCTTGAGCTGTCATGTGGGATCTGACGCATGGGACTGTGACAACCGTGTTACGGCCTCTGACATGTTCCATCACCCGACACCAACGGTCGGCGTCGGATCCAGCGGGATTCTCGACCTGGCCGTTGTAGAGGGTGAGGTACAGTTCTTCGCTGTCCGTGAAGAGGTGATGTCGCCAGCTGTGGTGTGCAGCGTTGCCACCACGGCGCTGAGCTCACCCCGAATGATTGTCTGCTCGTTTCCAGACGGGTCCCCAGGCGGCTGCCTGGAGGTTTGTCCCGTTCTTGTCAAGGTCGCGGAAGACTCCGAGCCCGATGCCAATGATGCTTAGAAGGACGTTGGCGGTGTCGGCTCCCCCGCTGGCGTCTCCGAACGCGCAGATGGATTTGCTTGCGCCCTTTCCGGAGCATCCTGGACCATAGCCGTCTGCGTCGACCACTTCCCATTCCTCGCACGCAGGGGGCGGTGGCAATGTCGTCCAGCTCCGTGGGATGACCCCGCGGTTTCAGAAGGAGTCGAACTTGTGCTGCTGGGAGACTGCCTCGGGCAGCAGCGTGCTGGTGGACTCGTAGATGGCGCAGTCCTGGGGCTTGCTGCACTGCCAGAGCGGTGGAGAAGCATGTGCCCTCCGCCTCCCCGCAGCGCTCGCAGATGCCGTCCGCGTCGGCACCCTTGTACTCCATCCCGACTCTCGCCTTTGGCCACATGGCCCCGACAGCGATGGTCAGCATGAGCGCGGCGAGTCGCACCCCGTCCTTCGTGGTATGTAGACACCGAAGAAACCTCCTATAATAATGACTGGCCGCTCCATTGTTCCACTCCACCTCCGCCGTGACGCCGACTGACTTGTCGCTAGTTGAATTATCGAATGTTGTTGTCGATGTCTGCGAGCAGCTCGCCGGGGATATCCACATCGGTGATGCCCGACGGATGTTCGGTCTTGATCTCCAGTGTGTGCGTTTTGATGGCGAGCGACGGGGGAAGCCTCCACTCGTTGGGCTGGACTTGGTCCCACCCAAGCTGTAGAAGGTACACGTTGATGGCCGACTGTGTGCCGCGAACATGTCTGTCTCGCTGCTGGACTGGCATCTCGCTGAACCTCTGCACGACCTTGTCCCGTGTGAATTGGATGGCCTTCTGCAGCGGTCCCGCTTGGATCGGGTGGCTGAGCCATGCCTGGACGGCCTCCCTCGGAAACCTTCGGGGTCGTGATGTCCAGCCTTCGGGTTGAGGAGTGTCGGGCATCGTCTCGTCGGCCGTGGGCCCACAGCGTCTCCCGAGCGTGGGCGATACAACGTGAGCTGGATACCGTAGTCGCCGTGAAGCTGATGGCCGTATGGGCCTGCAGCCCGGCCGCCCTGCTGAGCTGGGCGTCCCGTCACGTGATATTTCTCCGAGTGGCCCGTGCGAGGCGAATTACCTTGCGACGCATGATGCCTCGCTTGGCCCGCCTAGCTGTCCATGCACTCCTCGCGTGGCGCTCTCCAGCTTCCAGTTCGGCTCCCAGGTAGCTGGCCTGGCTCTTGGACTGTACGTGGAAACCCTTATGTTTCTTCTTATGTTTCTTCTTATTATTATTACTGATATTATTCTTTATCATTATTCGTCTTCGTCTTCATGGCACGTGTGATGTGCTTGGCGCCCTCCATGTCCATGCAGAGGATGACGCTCTTCTCGGCGACGGAGAGGCTCTTCTGCTGTAGCTCGACGCATGTGCCGGTGAAGCGCTCGACCATGTGCCTGCGGATGGCGCTATGTGACCCCTGCATCTGCTGTGACAAGTCATCGATCCATGTGCAATGTGTGAGGCGCGGATGGCGCTATGTGACCCCTGCATCTGCTGTGACAAGTCATCGATCCATGTGCAATGTGTGAGGCCTGCGTGTGTGGTGGTGGCTTTCTGAAGCGCCCGAAACGTCATAAGCTTAGCGAGCCTTGTCCATGACCTGAGGCCCTGGACTGCTGATCGAGTAGCTAAAATTGCCTCCGCATGCACACCACTGTGTGTGTGCGCCCCCGTGGCACAGTGCACTGGAGGAGCTCGAGGCCTAGGACCTCCGCGAGGAACTCGACGTCGAGCGCCTGTTCACCGAATCCGCCAATATTGTTTTAAAACTGTGAAATATCGAGAAGGCCGTGGCCCTGTGCGTTTTGGACATATGCCGATAATTCTTCGTGAAGAGCACGTTGGTACGCTTCGCGGAGGGCCGAGATGCCCTTGGCGGCCACATTCCAGTGTGCGAACCATTCACGGTTCCATTCCTGGACGTTGTCCTCGCGGCAGATGGATCACAGTTTGGCTGTATCGGGAAGGAACCCGATGATGCGGTCGCCGTTGTCGGCCGTGGTCCTCATGACACCGATTGTCAGGAGAAGCTGGCGTGGCCACACCTGCGCTGCTCGGTGAGGTTGAGGTCGGCAGCCAACTGCGCGAGCGCCTCGTCGGGCAGCCTGAGGGGGCCTGTGGGCCTAAGACGACTGGCGCCCATGGCCGTGGACCTTCGTTGCCGTTTGAGCGCCCTACGGGCGCCTTGTCCCGTGAAGGGCGCCAGCCCTCGCTATTGAATCCTCTCTCGAGTCCGGTCAAACATCTCGGGCATGCCAGCAGTGCCCCGGCCGAGCGGCGCCCACAGTTGGCTCCAATATTCAACCTTCCTGTCGATGAGGTCCCTTCGGCGGACGATGGTGCCACCCTCGATCGGGACAGACTCGGCTAGCTGCGGCTGTGGTCGCGGTGACATGTGCAGCGTGCCGATGGCCGACTCGGCGACGGCCCACTCGCAGGAGTCGTGGAGGGATTTTCCTCATCGCACGTTTTTGGGTCCGTTGGGCGATGAAGCCCGCCTTGCCAGCGTGCGTCACTACGTCGATGTCCACGGCCGACTGGATTTCGCCAGGACCGTGGCCCACTGCTATCAGCGGATCCCGCTATCAGCGGATCCCGACTTGGGTCGGGGTGTCGGCTGTGAGCTTGCTGATGGCGGCGTAGAGTTGGTCAAGCTGCCGTCGACCGTTGCCCATCGCTTTGTGGCGGTACATGTTGGGCATGATGGCATGTAGTCGGGTCCACCACGAGTTACCAAGGTCACACAACGCCAACCCTCACTTACTCGGTTGTTCCCGAACTGTGACAATTCGAAATTCTGGACCCGCTTCCATGAAGCTTCCAAGCAAGGCCTGGTTGTGGTGTGCGTGAATGGTGTTCTCGACAGTTGCTGCCCAGCAGCTGTAGAGCTGCCTAAGCTATATCAGGCGTGAGCGAAAAGGCCACGGAGCAGGCAGCAGCACCAGGGCGAATTGAACTGGGGGGCAACAAACAAATTTGTTCCCGTTGATGGCACGACAGGTCGCTAGAAATGCCAAAGCTTGGCCGTTGGGGGACATCTGGCGTGGCCGACTCCGCCCCCTGGATGCCTGCAGGTGCGCCCGGTTGGTTCTCACGCTCGGCTGCTGAATTACGCTGCTCCTGCGTCGCAGGGTCGGTTGGCACATTCGAGGGGTGAGGAGCTGATGTGCGATCTTTCTCCTGGGCGCTGCGAGCTCCAGTGTACTAGCTGATACTGCAGCTGGTTGAAAAAAACACTCTCGTCGGCCCAGGGACCTTTCTCCTCGCACTCCTTGCCTCCGTGCGACTCAACATCCGACGAGGGATCGCCTGCGCAAGATGGAAGGTCATCGCGAGCCTCGTCGCACTCTCCTCTTGACACACCCCATACTGAAGCTGCATGAACCTGTGCCTTCCGCTCGGCGGCCCTGGCTGCTTGCTTGGCCCTCTTGGCGCTGGCTAAGCTGGACTTAGAGCCTGGGGTCAGAGCCTGAGCGAATCGGGCGACGCTTTGTAGTCGCCTCGGAAGTTCGATGATACGCGTGAGGAGTTGTTTCCCTGATTGAACGAAATGAATTCTAAGCGCTTTCCACGGAACGTCGTGGACCCCGGTGACTGAATTGAGGTAGCAGCGGGCAGTTGCGAAGAGCATGATATAGTCAAAATGCGATGACATACATCCGCCCCCAGGCTCACATGTGTAACCAACATCGGCGCACTTGATTTCTCCACCAACTTGCTGCACAAACATCGATGCCTCTAAAGCTTGAACGGAGACGTTTCAGCCCCCGATATGGGACGGCTGCAGCGGGCGCATGCCGTCTTCTTGGTCGAGCAGTTCGTTGTATTCGCACGCGTGGCATTTGTTGCATCGGTTCCACATCTGAGTGATGGTGGGACGTCGTCCCGTAATTGTCACGAGCTCGGCTTTTGTTGACCCCAAGAGCGATGAAACGTATCATTGCAGCTGGGGCATCCCTCAAGCACCATGTGGAGGCATTGGGACGGCCCAGGTGTGCAGCATGCCACGTAACCAGAGTGGCTTGAGGAACGACGGGTGGGGGAGGGAGGAGGGACGGGGGGGGATCAGGGGTGATGTAGACTGGCAGGGGAAGCGTGATAGAATGACGGGCATGGGGTAAAGTACGGGTATGGAGGGAGGGCGGGCGGAGAGGGATGATGATGACGATGACGATGATGATGATGGTGATGGGCATGGTGATAGTGATGGTGACGATGTTGATGATGATGATGATGCTGCTGATGATGCTGATGATGACGATGATTATAATGCTGCTGATGGTGATGGTGATGGAGATGGTGGTGATGGTGATGGGGATGAGCACGAGGATGAGAATTAGGATTGTGAGGGTGACGATATTGATGATGATTATGATGATGCTGCTGTTGATGATGCTGGTCACGAAGATGATGCTGATACTGATGACTATGAGTATGATAATGACGATGATGCTGCTGCTGACGATGGTGATGGTGATGATGATGATCACGATGGTGAGATGGTTGATGATGATGATGATGCTACTGATGGTGATGAGGTTGATTATGATGATGAGGATGGTAATGCTGATGCTGCTGGTGTTCATGCTGATGCTGACGCTGCTGGTGATACTGATGCTGATGCTGTCGTTGACGATGATGATGCGAATGCTGAGGATGACGATATTGATGGTGATGATGTTGACGCCGATGCGGATGCTGAGGATGTTGATGCTGACGCTCATCATGTTGATGATGCTGTTGATGATGTTGGCGACGTCGTTGATGCTGAATTGGATTATGAGCATGATAATGGTGATGATGCTGATGATGCTGATGATGTTGCTGGTGATGCTGATTCGGGATGTTGATGTTGGTGATGGTGTTGCTGGCGCTGATGATGGCGGTGCTGCTGCTAATGCTGCTGATGAGACTGATGCCGATGTCGATGCTGATGATGATGATGATGATGATGATGAAGGATGCTGCTGATGCTGAAGATGCTGATTCTGGTGCTGATGCTGATGGTCTTGTCCATGATGGAGCAATGCCGGTGATGATGATGCTGATGATGGTGATGAGGAAGAGGAGGGCGAGGATGATGATGATATTGATGAGGTTGATTATGATGATGATGATGATGATGATGATGATGATGATGATGATGATGATGATGATGATGATGCGAGTGGCGCCGATGACGATCCCGCAGCTGATGCTGATGCTGCTTTTTTGATATAAGTGATAGTGAGTCAGAGGATGGTAATGATGAGGATGAGGATGAGGATGTTGATGATGCTGATGATGGTGATCTCATGCTAATGTTGATGCTGATGCTGATGCCGATGCCGACGCCGATGCTGATGCTGATGTTGATGCTGATGCTGATGCTGGTGATGAGGTGATGAGGATGATGATGAGGATGAATATGATGCTGCTGATGATGATGGTGATGATGATGATGGTGATGGTGATGGTGATGGTGATCGTGATGATGGCGATGATGATGGTGATGGTGATGATGATGGTGATGATGATGCCGAGGCGGAGGAGGAGGAGGAAGAGGACGCGGCACGGGCGGAGGAGAGGGAGGTGACAGATGAAGGATGGAGAGCAAGAGCGGGCAGGAGGCGAACGCAGGGATTTTGCTTCATGCCCTCTTCCCTGCGCCGCCCCGCCCTCTGTCCAGTCCTTGTCCCCCCCCTGCTCACACCCCCTGATGATTGGCTATGGCCGTCTGCTGTTGTGGCTGCTCGCGCCTGTGCACCACCACCTACAGAAGCACTCAGAACGCCGCTGAAAGCCATCAGAACGCAGGGTGGAGTTGAGCTCCGGCTTCTCCTGTAGGCATTCGGTTTCGAGGCTAGACAAGCTCTAGGCCTGCTAGATGGGGTCCGAGTAGATGGGGTCGGAGGATGCCGCCGCATCGGCGATGCATCGGCAATGCGGCTCGATGTGGAGCCCGATTCTGTCCATGCCGGCGTCGCCGAAGCATCGCCGACGTCGCCGATGCATCGTTGACGCATCGGCGATGCATCGTCGATGCATTGGCGAAGCGACGCGATCCTCCGACCCCATCTATTCGGACCCCATCTAGGAGGCCTCTACAAGGTAGCCATCAGAGTAAGAAGAGGACGCTTGGTTTACACGCGGGCCAACGCGCGGGCCCCCTGGGGAGCCTGGGGGGTCCAGACCCGACTCCCCTCAGAAGTCCTTCTAGGGACCTCTAGATCTCTGGATCCCCCCTCACTCCCTGCCTCCTTCATTTCCTGGTGCAACCTCCTCTCTGGCTCCGGGGCCCAGTCGGACGGGCACCCGCCACGTGGCGGGGGGGCCCCCCCATGGCCGGGCCGATGGCCCCCCTGCAGCTCGGCGACGACCCTCGGGGGGTCGGGGGCGCGTCGGCGGAGCCGGCGGCTGTGCACGTCATGCTGCTGGCCTTCCTCGTCTCGTGGAGACGTAAGACTCGAGTTCGCCAGAATTATGGATTGGCGACGCCTTTTGACGAGCCCGTCCTGCATTTTGACAGTCCAGTTTTCGTGGGATATTTACAGTTGGAGCTCACGTTAGATTTCTGATTGGGCCTCCTCAGTGTCTTGACGGTCTCGCCAGGCCAATCCGAGTCCCCCGATCCCGAGTCTTACGTCTCCCCGATCTTCATGTTCCAGGGGTACGGGGTCATTAGGGGAGCAAGCAGTGGCGTAAGCATTGCAATTCGGAGGCCCGCACGGATGTCTCGGATCGGCGCTGGACCTCCCTCCCTGGCGCGCGGAGCGCGCCCGGGCCGCCGCTGGAAGCGCCGCCGGGGGGCCCCAGCGCCGATCCGAGAAATCCATGTGGACCTCCGAGTTCTCATGTTTGTGTGATTGTCGGTTCTCCAATCATGACTGGCAATCCTCAGCACGTGCTGCGGGCCAAGCTGGAGGTCTCGGAGGAGCGGGCGGGTGCCTTCCAGGACGCGTGCGCGTCCTTCCAGCTGGCGAAGCTCCTCATGAGGGTTGCGCAGATCGCGATCCTGGCCGTGCTCCCTCCCAAGGGCATCGTATACCTGGCCTACGCCGTCATGTTCGTCGCCGTTCTGGTGCCGGTCGTCGCCGTTTGGGGGGCAGGGGTGACAGCCCTTTGGGTCGTGTATGGCGCAGGGCGGGAAACGGAGTAAGCACGACTTCTCTGAGGTCCGCGCGGTTGTCTTGGATCTGCGCCGGGTCCCCTGGCGGCGCCTCCGGCGTGGGGCCCCGGCGCGCTTCGCGCGCCAGGGGGGGGTGTTCAGCGCCGATCCAGGAATTCCGCGCGGAGCTCCAACAGTTTATGGTTGATGCCGTTTTTTCTCCCTCTGGTATTTGCAGTACTCTCTGGGGGGCATCGCGATCGGTTTGTTTGAGGGCACCTTTCTGAGCGTCATCAGCCCGCTGGGAAAGAATACCAAGACCTTCGTTATCATGGGCGCGCCCCTGGGGTTCGCCGCCCACAACATCCCCCTCGGGCTGCTCCAGCAGTGGGGAATGCCTCTTCTGGTGTACTACCTGTACACGCTGTTCTGTCTGCCACTGGGCTTGTTGGTTTTTCACTGGTACGCCCCCGTGGTGCGCGCGGGCACCAGTGAGGGGAAGGGACTGCACACTTTTCTGAGGTCGCTGGCGAGCCCCGCGGCTTGGGTGCCCGCAGCGTTGCCCTGGTTCATTGCCAAGCTATGCGGCAACTTCGTTCTGGAGGACGCATTTCCGCTCCTCTTCAACATTTATAACACCAGTAGGGTGCCGCTCCTGGATCCTGCCAGCACAACCTTTACGGTGCCGACCGGCTACTATCTGTCTTTGTTTTGGTTCGTGATGGTAGCGCTCGGTGACACCATCAGCCGCCGAGTCCCCAACTACATCTCTTTGAGGAGCGGGAGGGCCCGTGCGGCCTGCATCGCGGGAGCGCTCGTGATGTGCGTGGTTGGAGAGGCCCTGAATTTTCTCTTGCAGGCCATCGTGACTGGCCTTGCAGCGCTCGTCGCAAATTTTGGTAACGGGTTTATATATGGCCTCTCGGCAAAGTTCATTGATACCTTCATTCCGGCCGAGCACCGCTATGCCGCCTACAATCTGTGGTGCCTTTTCGGCGATGTCGGGGGGTACATTGGCCAGAGCAGCATGTCGGTCCGCATCGCCAGGAGAGCGTGCCACGGCCAGCATTACACATACGTCTGCCACGAGAGCACCGCCCGGGGCATGCAGGCAGGTGTCGGCGACGAGCTCGGGAGCGTCACTGTCATATGAGGCTTCCTGCATCCTCCTCCTCCTCCTCCTCCGCTTTCTCCTCCCTCTCCTTCCTACTCCTCGCGCTGGTGAGCGCCACTGTCATCTGAGCTGGTCGAGCGCCTGCGGTGGCGCAGGCAGCTATGTCCAGCGGTTGTCGGCCGCTCTGGCGCAGAAAAGCGACAGGTCTTCACAGATAAGAGTTGATGACGGGAGGGATGTGGTGGGCACGAAGACCAGGGAGGGAGGGGATATTGAGGTAACATGTCGAGTTCAAGATCGGGGGGTGAGAGGGGGGGATGGGTGGAAACAATCTAGGTGTTCTCGCGCATCGTCTGACATCCGACCCATTCCAACCATTCCCCTTCACCCGCTGGTTTTGGCATCTTAGCGGAGCCTGCTGCTCAAATGGTAGTTGCAGGATTTGACCCACTGTTTACTCCGCGATCGGGAAGGAGGTTTTAGCACATAGGAGGAGAAGGGGGAGCAGGAGCATGATGCGGATGGACAGTAAGTAGACGGAGGAGGAGCAGCAGGAACAGTAGGAGCAGCAGGAGCAGCAGGAGTGGGAGGAACAGGAGGATCAGGGCAAGTCGGGAGATTTGGAAGGTAGGGGGCTGCAACGACAGGGACCGAGTTTGCTTCAGAAATGCGGCCGGCGCTTGGGCCAGAGCGCCACTCTTAACGACGGGGGCAAACTGCCGATCTTGAGTTGCTGCCAGCGCTGAAGCAGGAGCACCATTTTCAATGTCGTGGCACGTTCCGAATGAAAAAGCAGAGAGCACACATTCACGACCTCTCGCGTGTGCAAGCAATGCGCAAAACATGGGGGAACATCAATGCACACTGTCAGGAGTGAGTGGCGGGTCGTATTAATGTTAAGCAGTCGCAGAAGAAGGTGAGTAGAGGCGGGGGAGCGTACTGAGGGGAGATCGGAGTGAGGCCTGCTCCGTTGCCAGCCAGATGCTCGCAAGGACACTCCTGCGCCAACCGTTCCACTCGCTTTCTTCACTTTGTCTTTCTCTTCTAGCCTTCGCCTCCCTGCTCCTTGCTCCCCCTGCGCATTTTCCTCCCACCGTCGTCGGAGTCGTCGGAGTCGGAGTCGGAGTCGGAGCCGGATGTCTTCATCCCCCTCACCCTCGGTTCAGGGGCGGGGGGGCTTCGGCCGAGGACGCCCCCGTTCCTCGCTGCGGGGGCCGGTCGGGGCGTCGCCGTCCGTGGGCGCGCCATGCGGCCGCGTGCTGGGCGGAGCGACGCCGGAGGGTGCCCCGCGGCGCCAGGAGTCGGGCAGAATCGGGGCTGGCCAGACCTCCTACCCTGACACGTCGATGAAGGAATTGGCCGTTTTCGGTTAGCGAGAGGGCGTCGAGGCCGTCATTTTTGCGGGTCCAGGTCCGTCGGTTTCGGTGCCAGGCTGTTTTCACGAAAGGGAGGTTTGCTAAAGGGAGGTTTGTCCACTGCCGACAGAAGGGGAACCGCTACCGCTACCTTTGCCTCGTTTTTCCCTATTGGGGCATCCTGGGATGCCCTCGTCGCCACTGCTGGATTCGCTTCGAAATTCTGGTCAGAACGCACCCCGCGGTTGGGGAGTAGCGGCATTTTTTCCCAACCAGTATGTGGTGTTAAGTCTTTTATGCATATATATATATATATACATACACACACGTCTCCTTCCTCCCGCTGCCACCTCCCTCCTCTTCTCAACCTCATCATCATCATCATCATCATCATCATCATCATCATCATCATCATCATCACCATCATCATCATCATCATCATCACCATCATCATCATCATCACCATCATCATCATCATCATCATCATCATCATCATCGTCATCATCATCATCATCATCATCATCATCATCATCATCACCATCATCATCATCATCATCATCATCATCATCATCATCCGTAATCATTTTGGCTCAAGGAGCCACGCCGGTGTGGCAGCGGTTTCCCCGTTCGAGCTTTGCGCTGTTCGGGCTATTTCCTCCTCAGTTGGCCCGTTCGAGCCCCGCGCTGTTCGGGCTTTCATGGCAGACGCGGCGCTGGACGCTGCTGCCGCCCTGGCGCCGCTGGTTCGAGCGGCAGCCGAAGGCGCGGCAGAGGGGGGCGCTGCGAGGCACGGCGTCGCGGCCGCCGTGGCCGCCGCGGCGCGCGTCGGTGCTGAGCTGATCGGGGGCTGGGCTGCAGATGGAGCTGGCGATGAGGAGGACGCCGTGCTCGCCCTGCGGTTTCGGGTCATCAGGCCAGCCCTGGCGCGCCTGATCCGCGGCGAGGGCTTCGGGCGCCGAGCGGGCGACTCGGAACCTCGGGGCCCACGCCTTCCTCGGTGAAGGCGCCGAGGTCCTCGAGGCCGCACCCGAGCGGCCGCAGGCCAGCCAGCGCCGTGGGCGGTCTGGCGCCCTCGCCCCAACGGGTCTGGGGGGGGGCTCCCAGCCGTCCTCCCCCCTGAGGCGGGACGGCGACCCAGCCTGGAGGCGAGGCGCCGCAGCATGGCGCCGCCCACAGACGAGTGCGGCGACAATGGCGACGCGAAGAACGACGATGACGGGCGCCAGCAGCACGTGGACGAGCAGCAGCACGTGCAGCTGCACAACCAGTACGAGAGCATGTACGGCGTCGGCGACGACGAGCTCGAAGGCCACGACAGCGATTGCGGGCCCGATGAGGTCAGGTTCGAGTCCAAGCCCGAGCTCGGCGAGTGCGCTGGCGACGGAGCGCAGGACGATGATTCCAGGCACGTCGACGACGACACCCTCGGCGACGCCTGCACGGGCGAGGACGGTCTCGGCTCGGGCGAGGTGCAGGCGCCCCTCGGCACCCCGCACGACGAGCCGAGCGATGCGCAGGACGAGGGCGAGTACGAGGAGTGCACGGACGCGAATTTGGGCGCTGGCGTTGGCGCGGCGTCGAGCCCCGCCAAACCAGCGTCGGTCAGGCGGCGGCGGAGGCGCGGCCGTCGGCCCACGCGGGAAGGACCGACAGCGTCAGCCGCCGTACCGGCGAGCGCACGGGCACTCGAGGCGACGGAGGCAGCCGAGCCCGCCACGTGCGCAGCATGGAGAACGGCTGCGAGGCGGGTGAGGGCCGCGACCCGCGGCGCTGTCTTCGTCCTGGCGGATCGCGTGCGGTCGGCGCCCGAGGCGGTTCCTCCGCCCCTCGCCTCTGGCGCGCAGTGGCGGCAGTGGAGGCTCGAGGAGCTCGGGGGGGTTGGCGGCCCGAAGGCGCCCAGCGCCTGCCCGCCAACCACGGCGGTGAAGGGGGTGGTGTGCGAGAGGGAATCGACCGACGATGATGAGGCTGCAGATGAGGAGCCTCTTGGCAGCGACCCGTCGGAGTACGCTGTCAAGCACGACGGGCGCGCGCAGCCAGGAGCGCTTCGTGGCCCCATAGGGAGCTCCACCGAAGGCTCCAGTGGCACAGGCCGCATGCGTCAACGCCTCTCAGGACAGCGTTCCGCGGTCTCATACCCCATAGGGAGCCGAAGGCTCCAGTGGCGCAGGCCGCATGCGCCAACTCTTCCCAGGACAGCGTCTCATGGCCCCATGGGCAGCTCCACCGAATGGCCCACTGGCACCGTTCGCATGCGTCTCCCTAATCCAGGAAAGCGCTTCGTGGCCCGCATGCGTCAGCGCCACCCAGGACAGCGCTTCGTGGCCCCATCGGGAGCCCCACCGAAAACTCCAGTGGCAGGGTCCGCATGCGTCAACGCCACCAAGGACAGCGCGTCGTGGCGCCATTGGGAGCTCCACCGACGGCGCCAGTGGCACAGGCCGCATGCATCAACGCCGCCCAGTACAATTTTTTCGTGGCCCCTTACGGAGCCCCGCCGAAGGCTTCACTGGCAGGGTTCGCATGCGTCAACGCACGCATGTCGGCGCACCCCTCACACGGTTCGTGGCCACCCGCGTCGAAACAGGTGGTTGCCCATGACGATGTGCTGATTTGTCCCAACCATTTTGTGGTGTCGGGTCCTCGCTTAGAAGAAACAGTGCCCCACGTCACCTCACATTACCTCACTTCCCGCTGCCCCGTTCCTCCCTCCCCGCTGCTCTCTCCCCCTTCCTCCTCCTCCTTGCCTCTGTTCTCCGCATGCCCATCATTCCGGCATGCTCTTCGCACGTTTTCGTGGCCCCATGGGGCGCTCCACCGAAGGCTCCAGTGCGTCAGCGCCGCCCAGGACATCGCTCCGTGGCCCCAGTGGGAGCTCCACCGAAAGATCCAGTGGCCCAGTTCGCATGCGTCAACGCCACCCAGGACAGTGCTTCGTGGCCCCATAGGGAACTCCACTGAAGGCTCCAGTGGCACAGGCCGCACGCGTGCCACCCAGGACAGCGCTCCGTGGCCCCATAGGGAGCTCCACCGAAGGCTCCAGTGGCACATGCTTCACGCGTCAACGCCACCCATGACCGCGCTTCGGGGCCCCCCTGTAGGGAGCTCCACCGAAGGCTCCAGTGGCACAGGCCGCATGCGTCAACGCCACCCAAAACAGCGCTTCGTGGGCCCATAGGGAATTCCACCGAAGGCTCCAGTGGCACAGGCCGCATGCGTCAACGCCACCCAGGGCAGCGCTTCGTGGCCCCATACGGAGCCCCACCAAAATTTCCACTGGCACAGGCCGCATACGCTTCCCAGGACAGCGTTTCGTGTGCCCATAGGGAGCTCCACCGACGGATCCAGTGGCACAGGCCGCAGTCGCCAACGCCACCCGGGACAGCGCTTCGCGGCCCCAAAGGGAGCCCCACCAAGAGCTCCGTCGGCACAGGCCGCATGGGTCAACGTTTCCCAGGACAGCGCGTCGTGGCGCAATCCGGAGCTCCACCGACTGATCCAGTGGCACAGGCCGCAGGCGTCAACGCCACCCAGAACAGCGTTTCGTGGCCCCATAGGGAGCTCCACCCATAGGGAGCTCCACCGAACGCTCCAATGGTCGGGTCCGCGTGCGCCACCGCCATCCATGCTGGCACACCCCTCACAC